ATCGATGAATCGGACAAAAAATATTTTTCATATTAACCTCTTTATTCCAAAATAAACATTTTAGACAGAGCAAACAAGCACACAAGTACAGGTTGCTCATTAACTGTACTGGTGCAATATGAAAAATAAATGTTTGTGTTAAAACTACGCAAACTTACATGAGAAATGTAGCTGTACATCCACAAAATATAGGCTACTTTGTTTCATAAAGCGCAAAAAAAGACATTTTTGTTTTTAAAAGCCGAAAGATTGTGGCGAAAGATTCGCAATCAAGCTTGGTTGTGGCCAGTTTGTCAGAAGCATCTTGCTAACCAGTTAGCAACTTAGTGCTAGCAGGTTCCCAATGGGAAATTCCATTGGGACCAAGTAGCACTAAATTGGTGACTTAGAAACGACGCTGTCAAGGAACGCTATGGACAGAGGAAACATGCAAGAGGAGGAGAGTTTAGTGTCGGAGGTCGTGGATGAGTCTCCTCCGTCATACATTTTTTATTTAGAGGAGGAAAGCGGGGACGAAGATGTTGTGGAAGAGGACGCCAGGGCGGCAGAAGCTTGGTTTGGTGTAGTAGGCTTCCAGCCGTACATGTTTGAGCCCTTGCTTCGCAACGCTGCCAGTTCTGTTAGCTCTACGCCTGCCGAAGACACAGACGTCCATCCCCGTGAACACTGGGACGCAACTCATTGGGAAAGGAAAGGATTCTGATTTCAACCGTTGCGTATATTAGCTGCGACTAGGGCTGCAACTAACGATTATTTTAAAAATCGATGAATCGGCCAATTATTTTTTAGATTAATCGATGAATCGGACAAAAAATATTTTTCATATTAACCTCTTTATTCCAAAATAAACATTTTAGACAGAGCAAACAAGCACACAAGTACAGGTTGCTCATTAACTGTACTGGTGCAATATGAAAAATAAATGTTTGTGTTAAAACTACGCAAACTTACATGAGAAATGTAGCTGTACATCCACAAAATATAGGCTACTTTGTTTCATAAAGCGCAAAAAAAGACATTTTTGTTTTTAAAAGCCGAAAGATTGTGGCGAAAGATTCGCAATCAAGCTTGGTTGTGGCCAGTTTGTCAGAAGCATCTTGCTAACCAGTTAGCAACTTAGTGCTAGCAGGTTCCCAATGGGAAATTCCATTGGGACCAAGTAGCACTAAATTGGTGACTTAGAAACGACGCTGTCAAGGAACGCTATGGACAGAGGAAACATGCAAGAGGAGGAGAGTTTAGTGTCGGAGGTCGTGGATGAGTCTCCTCCGTCATACATTTTTTATTTAGAGGAGGAAAGCGGGGACGAAGATGTTGTGGAAGAGGACGCCAGGGCGGCAGAAGCTTGGTTTGGTGTAGTAGGCTTCCAGCCGTACATGTTTGAGCCCTTGCTTCGCAACGCTGCCAGTTCTGTTAGCTCTACGCCTGCCGAAGACACAGACGTCCATCCCCGTGAACACTGGGACGCAACTCATTGGGAAAGGAAAGGATTCTGATTTCAACCGTTGCGTATATTAGCTGCGACTAGGGCTGCAACTAACGATTATTTTAAAAATCGATGAATCGGCCAATTATTTTTTAGATTAATCGATGAATCGGACAAAAAATATTTTTCATATTAACCTCTTTATTCCAAAATAAACATTTTAGACAGAGCAAACAAGCACACAAGTACAGGTTGCTCATTAACTGTACTGGTGCAATATGAAAAATAAATGTTTGTGTTAAAACTACGCAAACTTACATGAGAAATGTAGCTGTACATCCACAAAATATAGGCTACTTTGTTTCATAAAGCGCAAAAAAAGACATTTTTGTTTTTAAAAGCCGAAAGATTGTGGCGAAAGATTCGCAATCAAGCTTGGTTGTGGCCAGTTTGTCAGAAGCATCTTGCTAACCAGTTAGCAACTTAGTGCTAGCAGGTTCCCAATGGGAAATTCCATTGGGACCAAGTAGCACTAAATTGGTGACTTAGAAACGACGCTGTCAAGGAACGCTATGGACAGCGGAAACATGCAAGAGGAGGAGAGTTTAGTGTCGGAGGTCGTGGATGAGTCTCCTCCGTCATACATTTTTTATTTAGAGGAGGAAAGCGGGGACGAAGATGTTGTGGAAGAGGACGCCAGGGCGGCAGAAGCTTGGTTTGGTGTAGAAGGCTTCCAGCCGTACATGTTTGAGCCCTTGCCTCGCAACGCTGCCAGTTCTGTTAGCTCTACGCCTGCCGAAGACAAATGTTTGTGTTAAAACTACGCAAACTTACATGAGAAATGTAGCTGTACATCCACAAAATATAGGCTACTTTGTTTCATAAAGCGCAAAAAAAGACATTTTTGTTTTTAAAAGCCCCTAAGGGGTTCAAACAATAGGCCCCCCCATTTCAACAAATGAGTTTTTTTTAGACTAGAAGAGTTCTGCCTTTTAAGACAGGAAAGTATAGCAGTTAAAGTTGCTACTTGAGAAAATACTGAACCATAGAGATAAAAATAGCCCTGTGATTCAAATTTTAAAGTGTATTTTAAATAAAAATGAGAGAACTAGGGGTGCTAAAAAACACATCCTCCAAAGACAGATATTTACATGGGAATGTGGCAGATAATTAATTGACATATTACTGATCTTGCTGGATTTTATTCTGCTTTACTTCCATAAATTGCAGGATCTTCTTTACTTTATCTTTGCCAGAAGATTTAAACTTCAAAAGCCTTGCCCTAATAATTTGCAAGTTAATTTATTTATAAAGGCTATTTTCATTATTGTGATCAATTTGCGCCGTCAATCCCGGTGCATGCGCGCTTCATTTGCAGTCTGGACGCTGAGGGTAAACATCCTGCGGCTCTGACTGCAGCGCTGAGAGGGACTCCTGCGGGAGAGCGGGGTTGGGATGGGGGAGGCGCCCCGCGGCAGAGTAGGAACGATACATGCTTTCACGTAAGAGTCTCCAAAAGCCGCCAGTGACACCGTAAAAAGTCGGCAGATTTGTCGCTAGTCGCTTTTTTGAAAAATAGTCACTGGAGGGGTCTGAAAAGTCGCTAAATATAGCGACAAAGTCGCTGAGTTGGCAACACTGCGCACCTGCAGCGCTGGCTCGCTCTGCCGTAATTTTTTTTTCTTCCCCCGTTTCAGTCAAGTGGCAGTGATGACGGCGTCGGCGGATGACGCATTAATCGCGCGACACAACTAATCGATGATGAAATTCGTTGCCAACGCTTTTAAAAGTCGATTTTTATCGATTTTATCGATTCGTTGTTGCAGCCCTAGCTGCGACATATGAATCAAGATGCTATGACCGAAAAAAATGTGATTGACAGATGACCGTTGATTTATGATTGGCCGAATTTAGGTGTTCAGGCTGACGTAGAACTAACTGGCCTGCAGAAGATAACGGGGGAAAAAAAGTTTTTAAAACAGGGTTTTTTTTAAACCACAAATTTTCTAACTTTTGGGACAATATCATCTCATAAAGAGCACATTTATATACATGTTTAAGCCAGAATGATTTGACATTTAAATACCCCGCCCTGTTAATAATCGACCTATCACATTCACTTTATTAACCCGTGTAAAGTCGTGCACCACTCTGAAGTATTTGGAAATGCAACCATTGGAACAGCCGCTTCCCTACGACTTTAACTCACTACATTTTCTCAGCAGCTTGCCGAAAACTGCAATGATTACATGAGGAACGTTTACAAAACAATTAATGACCATCACATTAAGAGATGCTGAAAGCCATCTTGCGAGGGGCAACAGAAACATGAAGCAAACGGCTTTCATCCTGAAGGTCCAGACAGCAGAGACTGAGGGGGGGGCAAACTAACAGTCGGAATAACATCTGGACATCTTTTCACCAAAATAAACTTCAAAGGAGCGCCTCATCCATATAAATTGAACTAATATTTTATGGATAGGTGTGTTGCACATGAGCTGAGGTATCTTACCTGGGGCTAAGCCCCCCAAATATAGGATCCTAAACTCGGCCCTGGGCCTAAAGCTACTATAAGCTCATAGTTTAGACTATTTTAACCGTGGATGAAGCTACATATTATTAAGCCGGTTTCCTGTCAGCATGTAGTCAAAACAAACCCACTGATTTAATAAAAACCTAATCGGAACCAGCATCCTTCAGCCCATCTATTCGCAGTGTTTTTGATCAGGCAACGCTGCGGACACCTAAGGCTCTAAATGCGGACTGACTCCGGTTCGCTCGAGCCACCGCTGTTTGTTCTGACTGGTTTCACTGGTATCCTCAGAGGGTGGGATCAGATAGACCTCAAACCGTCACACTCACCTGGTTTTTGACCGACTAGTTAGCTGCTTTCTCTGCTTTCAGCGGGTAAACACAGACCGGAAGAAGAACATCTGACCCGGAAACCGACTCTACATCCGGTTGGTTCAGAGCGCAATAGCTTCGTTCTCCTCCAGCGGTGAGTTTAATAAACAAACTAATGGAACCATTTGACCACAGGACAGCGAAGGACCGTCTCTTATAAGCATATGTGCAAGAACCGAGAATTTCCAGAGATAAAGCTAAATTCGTATAAACGAAAAGTTTACGGTGCGCGTTTTTACGAGGAAACACGGTAAAAGCGTCGCCTTCAAAATAAGGATATTTTTCCGTGTTTTCAATAAGGCTTCCAAAATGGAAAATGTACAATTTAAACGTAATATCATACAGATCATTTAATCAAAAATTAACAGGAAGAGACAAATATTTACACCAGACCACTTATGGTGTGTAGCAAATGGCTTTTAGAACCTTTTTCCCATAAAGTATGTAATGATTCATCGTGATGGTTAAAATCTACTTCAAATTCTTGAAGATATTTGTGAATCAATTTAGTAAAATAGATCTGAAATTTTGACGTATTTCATGGATATAATTATTAAACATGGCGTTTTATTTGAATGTAATCATCACAAAACAAAACAAAAAAAACCTCCCTATTTGGTCTTTTAGTCTGAAGGCGTCTCTTAGACCGGATACCGTAATGGCGTGTATAGTTGAGCACATTGAAACCGCTCGTGGAGTGAAAGGAAAGGAAGGCCTCGCGGGAGATGGTTTAAAATGAGTAAAAACTAAAAGATAAACCTTCATTTAAACCGAGTCTTGGTTCTGGATTTAGCAGAATTCACTGGATCCAAAATCCAGGTTAGAAACTCTTCTAATTCAATTCTAACTTTGACTAATTCTCCTTTACGGTCTGAAACTCTCATATACACTGCAAAAACGATCTAGAAATAAGTCATAATGTCTTAATTAAGTGTATTTAGCCTTAATTTGAGTAGGTAATTAAGATGATTTGTCAATGGAATGAGCATTTTTACTCGTGAAACAAGATAATTAGATTGTATACTAATTATATATAATCACACAATGAAATATCTGTTTTTTCTTAAATGTAAATTGTCTGGTTCCTTTGGCAAAGTTTCTCACTTACTCAATTCAACAAAAAATGCACTTATTTTAAGAAAAAATGACTTGTCTAGATTTTGTTTTGTTTTTTTCCAGTGTAGACCTTTTCTATCAGACCCGGTTCTGGAGTTTAGTTTGACCAAACAGTAAAAGCTCTAAAACAAGAATAAAAAGTTGGATCAGCAGAAGAACACCATAGTTTTCCTTTCATGGATCCCCTGAAGGTTGTGTGGCTCATTGAGCAGTTAACGTCGGATTATTTCCTCAGAATCCAGAACCTTTAATCCAGAATCAGGGTCAGTCTGGTTTAAATAAGCCTGACCGAGGCTCCGTTTAGGTCCAGAGTTCCAGCTGCTGGTCCTGAGCAGAGATCAGCTGATCTGGACTCTGAAGGTTTTTAATAATGCAGATCTGTGGCTTCTTACTGGTTAAACAGGAGTTTCTGTGTTTCCAGGAGCTGCTGCAGCCTCATTCGTCCTACGGTGATCTGCTGCAATCATTTAAAGGAACAAGGTTAGTGATTTATGCAGGGGGGGTTTTATTTAAGGCTCTTATTTGGTCCAGGATCCAAGGAGAACTCAGGCTTCAGGACAGCGGTGTTCTGTCAGAGCAGCATCCCTACAGTCAATACCTGTTTATCCCTTTAGTTTTATACAAAAAAAAAACATTAAACTACCTCAGCAGGCATGTATCCATCTATTCATGTACAAAAAAAAACGATTTAATTACTTACTTTTTGGTGTTTTTCGAAGAGTATGGCAGGGCTGCTGGAAGTACTTGTGAACAGGGGGTGATGTTTTGTTTTGTTTTTTTATTTTTTGACAAAAGGCCTCTGAGCCTATTGGCCTATTGAAAAGGCAATTAAATAATTTAATAGATTGAGATTCACTACTTTATTTTCATATATACTTCAGTGAGTGCAACCAGGGTCTGTAACATCGAGACATCATCAGTTCTCAGGTGAATATATGTGTTAATTAAACTCGACAACAACATTATAACAAGGTAGAATTGGTCAGCTTGCATTAAATTCTATTCAGTTTATTTCTATAGCACCAATTCACATCATGTCATCTCAGGTCACTTTCCAGTTCACCAGATCATCCGGTCAGATTGATTCAAAGTTTTCTATCTAAGGAAAACCAGCTGATTGCATCGACTCATTGACTCTTCAGCAATCCCTCACACTAAGCATGCTTGTAGCGACAGTGGAGAGGAAAAACAATAATTTTTCATCTCGATCACTGAGTCTGGGAGCGGCCATTTTTGCCCAAATATAGTAGCCCCTCCCTCCTGCCATCTTCCAGCAGTGACGTCACGGTGCGGTAAGCCTAGCGCCATTTTCCGCGCTTTACAAGCTAAATCAATGGGAACTACTTGACACATCTGCAATCAACAACAATTATTGAAGATTTCCAGAGGACTTCACCATTGAAATTCACCAGAGCTATAGTGAAACTGACAATGCCCACGTGCATGGCAGCTGGATGCTGGAATACATCGGGTAAAAGTGGAAAAAAGAGTTATTCCACCTTTCTGATTCCTGATCCTCCACGGACGGGTTGGTCGTTGGATCGCCAACTTGAAGAGGGAGGATTTGCCATCGAACTTCTGTCCAGAGAAAAAACCCGTAATATGTAGCCAACATTTGGAAGAAGAATGTTTTTAAGATGACTTGGATAATAGCGCATTGTGACAAACACCAGATACAGCACTGGGACTTGATCAACAGCCGATACCGCACCGTGACGTCACTAACCAGTAGGTGGCAGTAGTGTTCTTTGACAAACATGGATGCCTCCAGTAAAGCACATTCACATGAAAATTACTCTGAATTAAAAACACTGATCATTTATTGAACAGGATGGAATCATTTCATATTTGAAGAACTTTTAGAAGTTTGAATTCTGAACATGAGCGGACTTTTCCTTTAAGAACAGAGTCTCTGTGAAAGAACAGATCAGATTTTATCCTCCTGACTGATTGTTTCTCTATAATAGAGGCGTTTGAAGTCGTGTTTGTTCAGATTTTATCCAACTGATGATGATTTGTGTCTTTGGTTTTTGAATCTCAATCTATTGAGTTCAGACTAATTTGTACCCATATCATCCCGTTGGTTTTAGGTTTGGAACCGATCAATTACTCCATTACTGGGGTCTGTTCACCGGCTTTGGACCAATCAGACAGTTTGCCAGTCTAATAGGATCATTGTTTCTGTCAGCGGACCCTCTTTTGGTTCCTATTGATCGGACTTAGACCAGATCTGTTGAATCCTTCCTCAGTCCGCTGTAGCTACCAGATCTGCTCGGGGCCCCGCCCCTTCTTATGACGTCAACATATGGCAACTCCACTCGGACAAACTGTATTGCACCAATTCCTTACGGATCAAATCTCTTTTGGAGTCTTAACATATTAGGGATGCACGATATAATCGGCCCCCTATCGGTATCGGCCTTAAAACTGAATATCGGACATCGGCCACCCCACCGATATTTAACCCGATATCTGATCAGCTTCTGAGTTTCTAAAGTCTAAAAAAATAAATAAATAAAGAAATACTACTTCTTCTTCTTCCTCAAAAACTTCTTTTTTACAGACTTAAAAACTTCTAAAGACGAGGGAAAAAATATTGATACATTAAAATATCCCAATATCTTCATATGCTGATATATTGCCATTTAAAAACACCATATCAATCTCTTTTACTAATGAAATATTGCTATATGTCATCGTTTTGCTACGAAATCCCCCGAAAATTCACCAAATGTTGCCATATTTTTATATGTTGACATATTGACGCGGTATCGATCTATTTTACTAACAAAATCTCACAATAATTTGCAAAATATCACGAGAATTTGTAACAGAACGATGAAATTTCACCAGATTTTGAAAGTAAAATAGATCGATACTGCGTTTTTAAAAATCTACAGGTGCTGGTCATAAAATTAGAATATCATGAAAAAGTAGATTGATTTCAGTAATTCCATTTAAAAAGTGAAACTTGTATATTATATTCATACATTACATACAAACTCATATATTTCAGATGTTTATTTTGTTTAATTTTGATGATTACAAATGACAACAAATGAAAATCTCAAATTCATCATATCAGAAAATTAGAATATTGTGAAAAGGTTCAAAATTGATGGCCCCTGGTGCCACACTCTAATCAGCTAATTAACTCAAACCACCTGCAAAAGCCTTTAAATGGTCTTTCAGTCTAGTTCTATAGGCTACACAATCATGGGGAAGACTGCTGACTTGACAGTTGTCCAAAAGACGACCATCGACACCTTGCACAAGGAGGGCAAGACACAAAAGGTCATCGCTAAAGAGGCTGGCTGTTCACAGAGCTCAGTGTCCAAGCACATTAATAGAGAGGCGAAGGGAAGGAAAAGATGTGGTCGAAAAAAGTGTACAAGCAAGAGAGATAACCGCACCCTGGAGAGGATTGTGAAACAAAACCCATTCAAAAATGTGGGGGAGATTCACAAAGAGTGGACTGCAGCTGGAGTGAGTGCTTCAAGAACCACCACACACAGACGTATGAAAGACATGGGTTTCTGCTGTCGCATTCCTTGTGTCAAGCCACTCTTGAACCACAGACAGCGTCAGAAGCGTCTTGCCTGGGCTAAAGAGAAACAGGACTGGACTGCTGGTGAGTGGTCCAAAGTCATGTTCTCTGATGAAAGTAAATTTTGCATTTCCTTTGGAAATCAAGGTCCCAGAGTCTGGAGGAAAAGAAGAGAGGCACTTCATCCACGTTGCTTGAAGTCCAGTGTAAAGTTTCCACAGTCAGTGATGGTTTGGGGTGCCATGTCATCTGCTGGTGTTGGTCCATTGTGTTTTCTGAGGTCCAGGGTCAACGCAGCCACATACCAGGAAGTTGTAGAGCACTTCATGCTTCCTGCAGCTGACCAACTTTTTGGAGATGCAGATTTCATTTTCCAACAGGACTTGGCACCTGCACACAGTGCCAAAGCTACCAGTACCTGGTTGAAGGACCATGGTATCCCTGTTCTTAATTGGCCAGCAAACTCTCCTGACCTTAACCCCATAGAAAATCTATGGGGTATTGTGAAGAAGAAGATGCAATACACCAGACCCAACAATTCAGAAGAGCTAAAAGCCACTATTAGAGCAACCTGGGCTATCATAACACCTGAGCAGTGCCACAGACTGATCGACTCCATGCCACGCCGCATTGCTGCAGTAATACAGGCCAAAGGAGGCCCAACTAAATACTGAGTGCTGTACATGCTCATACTTTTCATGTTCATACTTTTCAGTTGGCCAACATTTCTATAAATCCTTTGTTTTTATTGGTCTTCAGTAATATTCTAATTTTCTGATATGATGAATTTGAGATTTTCATTTGTTGTCATTTGTAATCATCAAAATTAAACAAAATAAACATCTGAAATATATGAGTTTGTATGTAATGTATGAATATAATATACAAGTTTCACTTTTTAAATGGAATTACTGAAATCAATCTACTTTTTCATGATATTTTAATTTTATGACGAGCACCTGTATTTGATATCAGCATATGAAAATATATCTGAGTATATTATTTTTCAAAGTGTCAGAAATGGATAACAAAACTGCTATTTTCAATGACTACTTATTTTTGTCCAGCTTTAACATCGGTATCGATATCGGTTATCGGCTACATGAGTTTTAAAACATCGGCATATCAGATATCGACCAAAATCCCAATATCGTGCATCCCTACAACATATCGTTACCTATATTTGCTATTATTTTACCTTTCATTGGCGATCTAAAGTAGCCGAAAGTAGAAAACAATCATTGTCAGCCTTGAAGGAAAGTACTGCTTTCTAAGACTCTCAGCTTATTTTTATTCTTTTTATTAAAATCTGAGGGCAGAGGACAAATGAAACATCTTACAAAATGATTTTCTAGAGATTTTAGACAAATAAAACAGTTATTCTACTTGTAGAAAACAAACAGTTGTTGTTGACACAAATTTAAAAGTAGTGTAGCTTAATATGGCTAACTGACAGAGCTAAAAGAGGCTAACCTGTTAGCTACAGCTAGCCACGGAGCTACCCAGCTCTCCCCCTTTATATCATGGTCTAACAGTTATTTGTTCAACTGAAACAGATTTTTTTCAGTTAGTCATTAGACACGCTAACGCTAAAGGTGCTCCCGCATGATAGCATGATGTTATTATTGTTGTCTGGGCAACCACAACGTTTCACGTCATGTGGTGACGTTCAGCCAATCATCTGGTAGCTACAGCGGTTCTATCGCTGCGGTGACCATTTGTTTGCTAACAGTCTCTTCTTCTCCTCTTCCAGCAGAGCGGATCAGCTGATAGCAGAAAGGAGCAAAAATGTCGGACGAGGAGGACATGGCTCCAGCCATGAAGAAGAGTCGCGTTTTCTACGGCAGCCTGGAGGAGAAGGAGCGAGAACGCCTCACGCTGGAGAAGGCGAGCAATATGGTTACAGGAAGTGACGCCTTGAGGGCGGGCATCAAGGCGGGAAACATCAACATCTCATCAGGTGGGTCAGGGCCGCCCGCTGCTGGATAAATGACCGGACAGAAACGATCAGGGCTGATGAGGTTAGGACAGGAGATGTGGAATTAAATCTGGGCAGAGATTTTATTCATTTATGTAGTTTTGGTGTCACTGACTATTAACCCTAACCATCCTGACTGTCTACGTTCCACATAAGATCACAGCTGCTATTTCTACATTAAACTGGAGTAAAGTCCTCCTCATCCCCTTATTTATCTTTTTAAGTAGTGTGTCATCAGCATATACCGTAGTTAGATTTGTTGTAATGCACTGGAATCAGAGCTAAGGCTACGTTCACACCACAGCCTGAAGTGATTTTTTTTGACCATGGGCGTTTCTCAATATGCGTTCTTGAGCGTTCTCGTGTGCTCGTGTACTCGTGACACGTCATCAGCCTCAGCCCGAGTACCATTCCAATTCTCGAGAACGCCAGATCGAGAACGCACCAAATCCCTGGATGTTGTTCTCACCCCGCCCTCTTTATCGAGCATGCATCAGAGCAGACTTGTGCGTTCTTCAGACTGACCGCTTTCCCAGAATGCACCGCGGCCGCAGCTTGATTCCAGACAGCGCTCACAGTGTTAAGTTAAACATTCCCTTTTCTGCTGCTGTTGTTCTTCAAAAGTACGTTTTGAAATCGTTTGAGGCGATAACATTATACATTTAAGCCTCCCTGTGTGGTCTGTTTACAGAGTTAGTGCGACATTTTTAAAAAAAGTCTGACGTTGAGCGGACCAGAGTGACCAGCAGACCTCCGAGGGTAACCGCAGCCAGGGCTAATGTTACCCCGTCTGTAGTGCACCTCTCTCGGTCTAGTTATGTGTGAACTACCGCTCGTTCTGATGGCGGTTTTCTGCAGTTCGGTAATTTTTTTAAATGTTTTTTAAGCTTTAGAAATTAAAAATATTGTTTTCAAAATGTTTTGTGTAGGGAATAAATAGTTTTGACTGTTAAAGAAATGCTAAACAACGTTGCATGTGATGACGTCACGAGTACGCTTCTGTTCCAATACACATACGTGCTTGCGTGCTCGCGTTCTCGCCAAGTCCGATCTTCCTACGTTCTCGCCAAGAACGGACTTGACGAGAACGCGAGTACGTACTCGCGTTCTCGTGAATTGAGAAACGGCCCATATGCGACCTGTGTCCGATCTTTTCAAAACAATCTGAACAACACCGATCCGATTTTTTTTCCAATGCGACCCAGGCCACTTGGCTATGTGGTCCTGAATCCGATGCGAATCCGACCTTTTTAAATGCGACCTGTGTCTGAACGGCCAGGTCGCATTCATCCAACCTGAACGCCACTAGTAGCCGACAAAGGTCACTATTCTGCGTCTTGCTATGAAGAAGCAGCAATAAAAAAAACAACAACCATGGAGGACGATGATGTGAGGAGTAGTATTTATGTTTACCATCTAGAAAATATTGAGTTTTTAAGGTCGGGAAAGATCGCTAGATGCGCTCCAGTACTACCATCCATGTTTACTTCCGTAAACAGAGAGTTTGTGACGTCATTGCGTCCTCTACTGCGCATGGGGGACACTTGCGTTGTATGAATGCAGTTCACACAGGAGATCACATGCAAGTCGCATATATTTGGAAATATGAACGGCAACGCAAAAAAATCATATTTCACAAAAAATCGGAATTAAGCACTAAAGTCGTAGGGAAGCGGCTGTTCCAATCGTTGCATTTCCGAATTCTCCCGAGTGGTGCCCGACTTTACACGAGTGAATAAAGTGAATGTGTTTGGTCGATTATCAAGGGGGCGGGATTATTGTGGCGGAAGGTTTGCAAGCAAGTTTGGTTGCAGCCGGTTCGTTGGAAGCATCTTGCTAACCAGTTAGCAACTTAGTGCTAGCAGGTTCCCAATGGGAAATTCCATTGGGACCAAGTAGCACTAAATTGGTGACTTAGAAACGACGCTGTCAAGGAACGCTATGGACAGCGGAAACATGCAAGAGGAGGAGAGTTTAGTGTCGGAGGTCGTGGATGAGTCTCCTCCGTCATCCATTTTTTATTTAGAGGAGGAAAGCGGGGACGAAGATGTTGTGGAAGAGGACGCCAGGGCGGCAGAAGCTTGGTTTGGTGTAGAAGGCTTCCAGCCGTACATGTTCGAGCCCTTGCCTCGCAACGCTGCCAGTTCTGTTAGCTCTACGCCTGCCGAAGACACAGACGTCCATCCCCGTGAACACTGGGACGCAACTCAATGGGAAAGGAAAGGATTCTGGTTTCAACCGTTGCGTATATTAGCTGCGACACATGAATCAAGATGCTATGAACGAAAAAATGTGATTGACAGATGACCGTTGATATATGATTGGCCGAATTTAGGTGTTCAGGCTGACGTAGAACTAACTGGCCTGAAGAAGATAACGATAAAAGAAACACAGATTTTAAGACATGGTTTTTTTTAATTGAATGTTTCTAAATTTTGGGACAATATGGTCTGAGAAAGAGTACATTTATATACATGTTTAAGCCAGAATGATTTGACATTTAAATATGACTTCCCTACGACGAAGGCCTGCAGTGTGAACGTAGCATAACGGAGCCAACAGAGCCTCGAGGAAACAACAGTAGATCTTTGTTTGCTCTGATTTATCAGTTTTCCAGTTTGCAAAGTAAGATTAGACCCAATGTTAAATAGAACCAGACAGGCTCGACTACTGTAAGGTCTACAAACTGGAATGTTTTGACCACAAGATGGCAGTAGCTACTGTCGTAAAGCTGTAGTTCCAGGGAGGTTTACTCAGCTTCCATGTTTCCCTGCAGGAGAGACCATGGAGATGGAGGAACGGGTCAGCGAGCGGCAGCAGGAAGCACTCGCCGAGTTTGAGCGGCGCCGGCGAGCCCGGCAGATCACCGTATCCACCGACGACGCGGAGGTTAAAGCAGGCCTCCGAGCGCTGGGGGAGCCGATCACGTTGTTCGGAGAGGGCCCCGCTGATCGCCGTGAGAGGTGGGAGGGGCGGACCTTTCTACACCCTGTTCATTGAAGTGCTTACTGTGCTGGGATTGGTTGACGGTCGACCAATCATAAGCCTCGTTTAACGACTATTTTCAGGCTGCGAAGCGTTTTGTCCGTGGTCGGTCCAGATGCTCTGAAGAAGTCCAGGAAAGACGAGGAAAGAGCCAAAAGGTCCCATGATGAGGTCAGAAATGTTGCTGCTAGCCTCTTAATAATCTGTAGAGCTATTATAACATCCTGTAGTTCTCTGGATTAACGCTGATGGCCGCGTACTGCGGTTCTTTATGTATCAGGAAGCATGAAGGTCATGAACTTGTAGTATTCAGAAACCTGTCATAAATCTCAGTTCTCTCTCTAACCAATCACAGTGCCACCAGACATGGTACCATGAAGGCCCCTCCTCCCTGAGGGACGCTCGCCTGTGGTTGGCCAGATACTCTCTACCACGGTGTGTCATCATGGTTCTACTGTAGTCAGGACGTTTTCCATCAAGATATTTGTCTATATTGCTTCATGGACGTTAAGCAGTGTTTTAAAAATGCCTCCCAGCATGAGGTAACCTTTATTGGTTAACACGTACAACACTTTGCTGTGATTGGTCCCTCAGGGCGATGAAGCGTCTCGAAGCCGCACGCGCTCAGAAGGAGGTTCCTGAGGCGACAAAGACGATCCGCCAACAGGAGCTCCACAAATCCCTGAGGGTGAGTCGGAACGACCAATCTAGAGAGATCCGATCCAACGTGGACCGGATCCAGAAAAGAACAAATCATGGAAACGGTCTGAAACATGGAGTCTGGTCCAATGAGGCACAACGAGAAAACAACAAACAGAATAGAGGAAGGACAGTTATCCTGGTCTTTATCTCTGATTTATGTTCAGGGGCATTTTGGGCTGTCGGAGAAAAAAGATAATATTTCTGCGGCCTTCACCCTGTTGGATCTAATTCTTTTCAAGGCTGATTCTTACAAAAACGGTACCAAAACGTGTTTTTTCCAGTTAAATCTAGTTAAAACCAGCTAAATTTAGTTAAAGGAACTCTTAAACCAGCTAAATTAAAGGACTCGTGTTTAGCTGGAGTCTCTTTGAACAGAAAAGATGTTCTTTATCCAGTTCGGTCCAACTAGAACCAGTCTGAACTGGTTTAAACAGGTCCTTACCCTGAGACAGACATGAATGTTTCTCAATTCACTAGAATGTGAGTAAGGACTCATGTCCTCTCCAAGTCTGTTCTTGAACGAACACAGGAAAGTCTGGACTCGGGGAGAACGGGAGCACGCAGAACAAATCTGGGTCAAATGGAACAGAAGCGTACTGATGACATCACCACATTCAAAGCTAGTCTGGAGCTGCATTTCATCTCCTGAAATTTCTTCATTTCTCATTTTTGCAATATTCCTTAGATGAAAGAAGGAAATTCTAGAAACCTCTTTTATATGGGATTTAAATGACAGGTCCTGATCAAACAACACCAAGATTTTTTACTTTATTATCTGAAATCAGTTTAATCCCATCCAAATGAAGTGACTGGCTAATCAGCTTATTTTTCAAAGACTCTGGTCCAAAGACTATAACTTCTGTTTTGTCTGCATTCAGAAGCAGAAAGTCAAGAGTCATCCAGGTTTTTATGTCTTCAAGACATGCCTGTAATCTATGTAATGGGTTAGCTTCATCTGGATTTATAGACAGATATAGCTGGGTATCATCAGCATAACAGTGGAAATTAATCCCATGCTGTCTAATAACTCTACCAATTGGGAGCATGTATAAAGTAAAGAGAATTGGTCCTAGCACTGATCCCTGTGGTACTCCACAGGTAACCTTTGAGCGTGTTGAAGATCTATCATTAACATGAACAAACTGAATTCGATCAGATAGATAAGATTTAAACCAGTCTAGTGCTGTTCCTTTAATTCCAACAAAATATTCAAATCTTTCTAAAAGAATATTATGGTCAACTGTATCGAATGCAGCACTAGGATCCAACAGGACGAGCACAGATACAAGTCCATTATCTGAGGCCATGAGAATATCATTAGTGACTTTCACCAGAGCTGTTTCAGTGCTATGATGAGCTCTAAAGCCAGACTGAAACTCTTCAAAAAGTTCAGAAAGTTAAAGTTGGTTAAAATTGATTCTGTTCCTGCTCAACACATTACACTGAGTGGAGCTGTTGACCACCCCAAGATGGCGCCACCACATCATGTCAGTGCGAAAGTGATGGATGTGAGGTCTACTCTTATACGCGGACCTGAACAACCTCTGAAAGTCTTCTTCTTTTCAGAATCTGAACAACTTCTGCAGTCAGATTGGAGATGATCGACCAATCAGCTTCTGCCACTTCAGTCCGGACTCCAAAATGCTGGCCACGGCGTCATGGTAAGAACCCCGCTCCTCCTCACACAGGTATCCTTGTTCCTGAATGAAGCTAATGTTAGCGTGCTAACCCCTTCAGGAGTGGCCTGTGTAAGCTGTGGTCCGTCCCTGATTGCACACTGATCCGGACCCTCAGAGGTGGGCGGAGCTTCTCTCTTCCTGGTTCTGTTTACAGCTGTGTGACGCTAATGTTGGTTCAACACTAAAGCAAACTATCCTCTTTCCTCTCTGTGCTGTGATTGGTTAAAGGACACAACACCAACGTAGGAGCCATCGTCTTTCGCCCGCAGTCCGGAATATCTCTCGACCAATCAGACGTCAACTTGGCCTCCTGTGCTGCTGATGGGACGGTGAAGCTGTGGAACCTGGAGAGGTGGGTGGGCGGGGCTTAATTTGGGCCTGGCTTTTAACACAGAGAGGACTAATGAGAATTTGTCTCTGTGGTTGTCATAGTGACGAGCCAGTTGCGGACATCGAGGGTCACAGTGATCGGGTGTCTCGGGTTTCCTGGCATCCCTCCGGAAGATTCCTGGGAACCACCTGGTAGGAGAGACCAGAACCGAGTGGTTCCTGGGTGATATCGGGCTGAGGGCTTAGATCTGTCTGTATACTCTGTAGTAACTGTGCGTACTCCGTAGTAACGCTGAATACTCTCTTCCAACAGCTACGACAACTCATGGCGTCTGTGGGACCTGGAGGTTCAGGAGGAGATCCTGCATCAGGAAGGTCACAGCAAAGGAGTTCATGACATCAGCTTCCATCCTGACGGCTCATTGGCTGCCACAGGGTCGGTTTTGCTGAGCGGTTCCTCCTTCTGATCTTTAACGGTTCAGTAATTGTTTTTCTGAGCTGTAATTGATCACTGGTAATCGGCATCTCTGTTAGCCAATAGTTCTGCCTTTTTCTCATCCAATCAGGGGGCTGGATGCGTTCGGCAGGGTTTGGGACCTGAGGACGGGACGCTGCGTGGTTTTCCTCGAGGGACACCTAAAGGAGATTTACAGCATTCACTTCAGTCCAAACGGGTCAGCCCAACACAAAAACGGCCAATCAGAGAGCAGCTAGCAGAGATTAGCCAATCAGATGGAAGTTATGGCATATCAGCCAATCAGAGGGAAGTTGAGGCATATCAGCCACTTAAAGGGGTGTAGGGACATTCTAGCCAATCAGAGGGCGGTTTGGACATTCCAGCCAATCAGAGAGGCTCTATGTCTCTGCTGACGGTTTAATTTCCAAAAGACTTGATTGTTTAAGTTCAACTGGGATCTTTGTGGGTTTTCTCGTCATTCTCAGAACCGTAGTTCTCTGTAGAGCCTGAGTCTAAACCGGACCTTGTTTTTTTTGTTGTTTTTTTTATTTTGCAGCCACCATCTGGCCACAGGAAGTGGTGACAACACCTGTAAGGTTTGGGAGCTGCGCAACAGGAAGTGTCTGTACACTGTCCCCGCCCACCAGAACCTGCTGTCAGCCGTCCGCTTCCAACGTAAACAAAAACAGAACCTTTCTCCTCAGTATGACCCCCCACTTCCTGTGTCTGTGACCTCAATTCTTTTATCTCTGACCTCACTTCCTGTGCAGCCACAGACGGTCACTTTCTGTTGACCGGAGCTTACGACAACACGGCGAAGGTCTGGAGCCACCCGGGCTGGATGCCGCTGAAGACGCTGGCAGGACATGAGGGGAAGGTAGGATGGCTCTACGTTCTGATTGGTCCGCCTGAGGGCTGAACCCTGATTAGCCGCTCTGAAACCCTGGATTGATGGTTGTTTTCAGGTGATGGGCGTGGACATGTCACCTGATGGGAAGCTGATCGCCACCTGCTCTTACGACCGAACCTTCAAACTCTGGCTGTCCGAATGATGTCAGCAGTGATGTCATCCAATGAAATAAGATTTTTTGTTGTTTTTTTTAAATCTAATAAAGAAGTTGAATCTTTCTTAGATTTGTTGTTGTTGTTTTTTTTAGTTTATTGGCAGTTAATTCAGATGATCTCAACTTTATTAAACCTGAAGTGAAACCAAACGGATGCTGCTACTCGTATCATCTGTGGTTCTTTGTTAGAACACTCTGATGCTCGGCCTGTCCGGCCTCAGGATGACCTGAGAACCAACGCAGACATTCACCCCATTATTCACCGCCATGCCTCAGCCAGAACAGCATGGCAACTGCAGCTGGAGCCAGGGGACCACAGCTACCAAAGTTAGACAACAGAAATGAATGATGTTTTATTTGAAATAGAAAACTTTATTCATAAAGCTCTTTAACGGGTGCTGAACAAGTAAAATCAAGGAGCATTTCACAAGAGGAAACACAAGAACAGCTTCAGAAACTATAAAAAAAAAAACTGATTTTAAAATAGTTTGGGAGGAAAGGGAGCATATTGGATCTAAAAAAGGAGATTGTTTCCAGGACAGCACAGTCAAAGGAAACTAATCAAATGTTAACTTTTTTAAAACAACTCTGGGTTTCAGCATTTTTACAATTTTTCTGGGATTTTATTCAAGATTTGTGGAGCAAAATAACAAAGCTGCTTCTCCATATCTAGTTCTACTTACGCAGAGCAGATGTGATCCAGGAGACCTGAGAGGTCTGCCTGTCGATCCACTGCCAACTAGTCTGTAATGTATTTTGGTCCTCAGATTTTAAGTGATTTCTAGACCAACAGAAGGATTTTAAAGTCCATTTTCAGAGATACAAGGAGCAAGAGGAAGGACTTTAGAACTGGGCTGATGTTCTCTACTTTCTTCTAGTGAGGACGCAGGCAGCAGCATCTGGATCGGCCGCAGCTGTCTGATCTTTTTTAGTTCTAGTGAGGACGCAGGCAGCAGCATCTGGATCAGCAGCAGCTGTCTGATCCACTTTCTAGGCAGACCTGTGGAGGCGCCGCTGCAGGGATCAATTCTACTAAAGATGAACAAAGCGGGAAGTAGTTTTTCAACATTCGTCCTTTAATCCTGGAGATGTTCTTCAGGTGATAGAAGGCCCACTTTGTTCCTGTGTCTATGAGCCTCTGAAGGTTCAGGTCTGAGTGCATCACTACACCCAGATTTCCAGCCTGATTCCTGCTTTCTAGCTGGATAATAAACTGAAGCTGTGTTCTAACTTTAAAAGCTCCAACTTAGTTACTTCTTTTTATTTAAAATTCATTGATTTGATATATTAGGATACTTTTATTAAAAAAAAAAACTATTAATCAAATTAAACTTTAAAAACATACGGTATTCTGCCATGGAACATATTAAATACATTCCATGAGGTTCTTGTTAAAACCTGGACTGAATTCTTTTTTTCTTAATGATCTGCATCACACCTTAGGTTGCAAACTGTCCTTTGAATAAAGACGTTTGCCTGTATTTAAATAAAAGTGTGCATCTAATTAAATTAAGTTTCAAGTGAGATGTTTACAAAATCGTTGAACAGAAAACATAAGGAGAAAACCAAAGGTCCTGTCAATGGAGGGTGGAGGAGCTGTTCCTTCTTCATGTTGAAGGATTTGATGACGCACTGCTGATATACATCATATTTAACTATTTATTATTAAACCTGACACAGAGCAGGCCAATTAAGTTTCCTTAAATCATAAGAAAATCTAAATCTTTGAGGTAAATATTAAAGAAAAGAAAATAGATTCAGCTGTTTATGAAAATGACATTTTTCCAATTCCAGTTAATAGAGCCACTAGAAAAGAAATGTTTCCAAGGACGTAGAGCATCAGCAGCAGAACACCCACCTGTGAAAAAGAAAATCCCAGTAAGTTCGGGAAATGTTAAGATTTGATCTTTATTTGATATTTGGTGTTTTGTCTTTTACCATATTTGACCCCGGAGGAGAGCCGCCATCTGTAATCAGAAACATGAGTCACAATTTAGTTTCAATTCAATTCAGTTTATTTCTAAAGCACCAATTCACATCATGTCATCTCAATGTACTTTCCAGTTCACCAGATCATCCAGTCAGATTGATTTAAAGTTTTCTATCTAAGGAAAACCAGCTGATTGCATCGACTCATTGACTTTTCAGCAATCCCTCACACTAAGCATGCTTGGAGCGACAGTGGAGAGGAAAAACTCCCTTTGAACAGGAAGAAACCTCCAGCAGAACCAGGCTCAGTGTTTGAGTGGCCATCTGCTGAGGCCCACTGGGGTTCAAGGAGACAGAAGCAGACATAGAAAAAGAAGCATAGATACAAAATGCAGCTATAAAAGGTGGGTCCGTCCAGGAAACACACAGCCAGGCAGACGAGCTCCGAGCCAGCTCCCATGTCAGAGGATGAAGAGAGCACATCCAGTTAGTCACAGTCAGAGAAACAGGACTACACTGAAAAACAGGCCAAGCTCCAACATCTAGAAACAAAGGTGTTGATGGCAGCAGCACAGCTGATATTTCTCTCCAGGATGGAGTCACAGCCAAACAGGAACAGACCAGATGAAGCTACTATGAGAAAAAGCAGAGAGAGCAGAACGTTAGAGATTGAACTAACAGATTCTGCAGAGTGGGAGAATAGAGATAGAATGAAGCAGAATGATGAAAAAGGGGTCCCTATGTCCTCCAGCAGTCTAAGCCTATAGCAGCATAACTATAGAGATAGATCAGGATAACCTGAGCCACTCTAACTAGAAGCTTTATCAAAAAGGAAAGTTTTAAGCCTAGCCTTAAAAGTAGACAGGGTGTCTGCCTCACGGACTAAAACTGGTAGTTGGTTCCACAGGAGAGGAGCCTGATAACTAAAAGATCTGCCTCCCATTCTACTTTTAGAAATTCTAAGAACCACTAGTAAACCTGCAGATTGAGAGCGAAGTGCTCTGTTAGGAACATAAGGAACAATCAGTTCTCTGATATCAGATGGAGCTTGGCCATTTAAGGCTTTATATGTGGGAAGGAGGATTCATGGTAAGCGTGGTGGGATGTTTTTCCACCCTCCCCACTCTGTGCACCAGGTGTAGCAAGAAGCAAGCTGTTGATTGGTGGGCGGGGCTCTATAGCTAAGCAGGCCTCTGCCAGGTACACGTGTCTTTATTTCCCCCTCATGTCGGCTGCCTAAGTGGCTGGTGTGCTTGATCCACTCATTTGAAATCCTAAGTGCCATTTGTTCCATCAGTAGCTGGGATTGTGGTTGGGCTTTGGTGTTATACCCGCCGTGTGTTTCGCAGCATTGCTCTGCCAGTGTTAGTGGCTGCAGCTGGAGGTTGTTGCAGCGTGCAGCTTCTATCTAGTCCTCACCTGCTGGTCCGTTTTCTCCCTGCTTAGGCTGTGTTTCCACTCCTGAGAAGCTATTTTAATTTACTTTACCTGAATATACAGGTTTTCAAATGGGTTTTCTGGTTTAGGGTTTTCTTGCAGCTGCAGCGCTTTGGACGCTGTCTTGTTTAGATGGTGTTTGTTTGTTTGCTTTCAACGAAACCTGTTGCTGTTTGGACAGGCGGAGCGAGCGGGCATGACTTCTCTGGCCCCATTGAAAGGCAGAGGAAATTGTTCCACTGTTTAAAATGCTTGCTTTTATTTTAATCTACTAATTTGTTTCATTTTGCATTGCATGTTTTGTTTGTTCATTTATTTTTTTTGAATAATTTTAATTGCCCTTATTTCCTATGAGCCTTTTTCTTTCCAGGGACCGAGTAGTAGGCCTGAAGCCGTGTTTTAACAACAATGTTTTAAAGAAATGCTTTGATGAATTTGTTTAAAGTATTGTTGACTATTCTGTGTTCTGGTGCATCTTCTTTGTGGGTCACAAGGATGAAGGTGATGAGGAAGATGTTTACCTGTTCTCAGCTTCCAGCTTCGATTCAGCTCCAACAGGCCGTAGAACAAAGCCTCCCAGCCGGCGAACCCCCCCATCACTTTTACCAGCCAGCGGTCCGTGGTTCCATCCATCATCTGAATACCCGTGAATATGGCCGCCACTGTGGGAGTTCGCACCACTTTTAACGTCTGGGTTGATGGTTTGGGCCTAAGATCTGGGTTTAAGCTGCAAAAAAACTCAAACACTCACCTGACAGAAGGTGAACAGATGCTGCAATGAAAGAATGTCCCCAGTTGAATAGAAACCTCCTAAAAACCATAAGATAAAATCAGTTCCAGGTAGGAAGATAATCTAACATTAGTTCTGGATCTTTTCTGGTTCCTTTAGGCTCAGCGTTCTGTTCAAGGCTGAATCAGAGAAGGAAGATCCACTAAAGCTGCATACAAGACCTGCAGCAGGGAGCAGAGGTGGTCAGGAGGTCCAATCAGCATCTGCATTTACTAAAAGCTGTTCTAACATTTATTTCTAACATAAAGTCAGAAATGATGTCTATAAAACCATAAGAGAAGATAATGTCTGTTCTGTTTATTGACCTATATTAAACAGAAACCCTAACAAGACAAAAAAGAAGGTGGGTACCAGCGGTGCTGTGGTCCACAACGCATCAGGGCCAGGGTGGGCTGAATCAGAGCTAAAATCAGGACCAGGCAACCCAACACAGAATGAGCTCCCTGCAAAGCACAAACACACCTTTAATCTGGAACAAAACAGCTGCAGAAGCAACACAACCATTTCCTTTATAAAGTGCATTGGTTTAGGTCTGCAGCTTAGTTTAGGTTCTGCTCGGTTTGGGTTTTGCTGCTTGGTGTAGGTTCTGTGAGAGAATCTTTCATCATCACATTGCTCAGATTCTGCAGCTTTGTTCCAATTCAGTTGTATTGGATAAAAATATAAATTTTGGGGGGGATTCATTTGTTTTTGTGAAATGTTAATCAAGATAAACTACAATTAATCAGCACAATGCAGTTTGGGTCTGGTTGCCTTGGTAACAGAGACTAAAAAAAGTTTCTAATTGCCCAGAATAGAAATTGAGACCCAGTTTTTCTCCAATAGCACTTCACTGACTGTAAAATACAACTAGTTTAAATATTTGGACACCAAACAAAAAGAAAAGCAGGTTGAACTCATAGGATGCCTCATAGTGCCATCTGTGCATGGAGCTTTGCTGCTGGATCAGACTCACCTCAGCCCAGCCATTCACGAATACGAAGGCAAGGACGAAAGCAGTGATGGTAGCTGCCACCGTGACGCTCATCACCGAAACATGGGCCTGCAGGAACAAACGTGATAAACAGCAGGCATCATGCAGAGCTCACTGCTCCGGCAATGTATGACTGGTTCTCCTATAACTCCATATTTATTTTTTATTTATTTTTTTTAATTAGGACAATGCACATTCATCAACATGTCAGCATAAAGCATCAATGTAAATATTCCAGAATTAGCACAACAGCTAATTTGCATCCGCTGTCCTAAGGCAGGTAAAAACAGTGAACATTAAACAAGACGCTACAGGAGAGAACAGAGTGGACACAAACAGGTAAGATGCCAATAACATAAAATCACAATAAAATGAGGTTAACTGGCCCATAGAAACAGATCAATTTACCTGTGATCACATGTCCGGTTAGTTTTCAACCAATGTTTCAAGGAGAATTTAAAACGTCTGTAGGTTTCACAGCCCCTAACATGAGCTGGCAGTGTGTTCCATAAATGCTCCTCTGATGGATGCAACCATTTGGCCAGATTTGGTCCTACGCCGCTGATCATTACAGTCTCCTCTGGTTAAAGCTCTAGTGTTTATTCTAGTAATGTTTTTTTTGCTTATAAAATCTGTTAGAGGAGGAGGAGCAAGTCCATTTAAAACTTTAAAAACAAGGCATGCATCCAGAAACATCTGATGACGTTTAAAGCCAACATCACTGCATCCCACAGAAATGAGCTGAAATCCTTCTGAACTGACTGATGCTGAGTTTCACTCACCACAAACCATAGATCTTTGCCAAACAGCTTCACTCCTTCGCCCGCACCTTTCAGGAATCGTGCTATCATCATTCCCAGTGGACCTGTGGTCATCCAGGCGATCAGCATCAGGGCGCCTGGAGAACAGTTTGACAGTTGAACAGTGGAGCAGGTCTGTCAACAATTCTTAATTCCAACATGAGAGACACTCAAGTAAGCGCTGACTTTATGTATGGAGTCAGAAATGGAGCAAATATTCAGACCCTTATCTCTTTGATTTTGTACGAAAAATAGACTTTAAACTACCTCAAAGGGCGTGTATCCCTTTGGTCATGTACAAAGAAAAAATGTTGTAAAATAAAAAATAAGTAATTAATTTGTTTTTTTCTGTTCTGTCTGTTTGATTTTTCTGTTAATAAACAGTTTGAATTTTTCTACTGGCTCTCTCCCCTGGGTCCATCTGTCCGGTTCTTGACAAAACGGCAGAGATGGCAAAAGTACTCACTTGCCGTACTTGAGTAAAAGTACAGATACTTGTGTTAAAAAATACTCTGGTAAAAGTGGAAGTACTGATTAAACTTCTTTACTCAAGTAAAAGTAACAAAGTACAGGCTTGTAAATTTACTTAAAGTATAAAAGTAGAAGTAGAAACCACTTTTTTCATGCCGTTGCCTACATTTTAAATGGATGTCTGCCAATAGGACTAGATCTCCGTTGTGTTCATTTGCAATCATCTCGTCGTCCATGCTACTATGCTAACGCCACCGCCACCAAGCTGCAATGATTTGCCGCCAATGAATACCGCCGAATCTGTCGATTCATCTTGTAGTGGTGCGTCAAATGCAACGTAGATTCCCATCCAATTAGAATGAATTTGGTATTGATGACGTGAAAAATAATAACGGTAACACCATTGAAATTATTCAAAACTAAAGTAACGAGACAATTTTTTAAAATGTAAGGAGTAGAAAGTACAGATATTTGTGTAAAAATGTAAGGAGTAGAAGTAAAAAGTCGCCATAAAAATAAGTAGTAAAGTAAAAATATCAGAAAAATCTACTTGAGTACAGTAACGAAGTATTTGTACTTCGTTACTTCCCATCTCTGCAAAACGGGGATAAACTGAAGGGATAAACGGCTACCGACAATGGGTATGCTGGTCTGACTGGGTATGCTCATCTGACAGAACACCATTTATGTCTATAGAGCAGACGGATGAGAACGGGGATGCAGCAGCTTGCTGGAAACAACACTGACCCTTGGATCTGTTAGCTGAGTCTTGGACCACTTATGCTACGTTCACACAGCAAACGCTTTGAGCAGCGGAAACAGCTGATTTACATGCATAGTCAATGGTTGCTGTGCGACAAAAGGTCCTGGATGCATCTAGAGCAGCAGGAGCAGAGCTTCACGAGTGTCTGAGCATTTGAGGCGTGCAGAAGCAGCAGCTGCTAGAGTTGGAAAAATGAAACTTTTCCTGCTCGATGCTGTATCGGACTGTTGTGGTGAAGAGGGAGCTGAGTCGGAGGGCAAAGCTTCCCATTTACCGATCGATCTACGTTCCCACCCTCACCTTTGTTCATGAGATCTGGGTAATGACCGAAATGACAAGATCGCAAATATAAGCGGCCAAAATTAGTTTCTTTTGCAGGGTGAGTGGGTGCGCCCTTCGAGATCGGGTGAGGAGCTGTTACCCGGGAGGAGCTCGGAGTAGAAACGTTGCTCCTCCACGTCAAAAGGAGGTTCCCGCCAGAGCAGCTTTAGGAAGTGTGTGTGGATCAGGAAATCTAGTTATCTCTGCATAAATTGCTGCCTCTGGGAACCAGCCCCAGATGAAGCGGGAGAAAATGGATGGATGTTGAAATCTGATTGCAAAATATCTTCGCTTTTATTATCCTGGTGCCAACAGGTGATAAAAACCCCCAAGAGGCGAGCGGGCCTGAGGCAGCTGCTGCTGGGGATTCCCAGTGACAGCGCAGCGCCGGTATGTGGGGGTCTGAGCGGCTCCCGCAGAGAAATAATCTTTGAAGGCAGGATGGTAATCTGGATGAACTGACTGTCCAGACCATGTAAATATAGCAAAGCAGCTCTCTGGCATTGAACACACTTTACTGGACGTCTGACCTTGATGTGGAAAAGCATAAACAATGAGGCAGCAAAAGCTTTTTGCTTTTCAAAGCGCTTCAGGTGTGAACTTAGCGTTAGGATGAGTCTGGGATCTGTTAGCACAGATCTGTGACCTATTAAGGTATCCATCTGACCTGTTAAGGTGACCTTTTGACCGTTTTAAGTTGAACCTTTAAGAGTTAGTCTTGGATCTGTTGGGTCTTGGAGTTGTTTTGGTTGTTACCAACAAACTCATGTGCTTCAGAGGCAGAAGATCAAATTTTTTTGGCAGCAAAGTCACTCAGCTGGGACTCACCGTGCGTTTGGATGATGTAGATGTTTCTGTCACTCTGGACAACAGCAGGGGAGGAAATCTGGAGCCTTTGCTTGCTGCTGAAAGTATCCTGATGCATCTGGATTATTCCTTCAAGACACACCCAGCAAACCCAGTCAGTACCAAAAGGTTTCTTAGAGCTAACAAGTCATCCCAGTTCCCAGGGAGCAGGACTCCCGTTGCACAGATATCTACACCAACAGATGTTCCTGATAAAGTCTTGCAGGCTGCAGCAAACATGGAGCTCTAAATGATTATGCTTCACAGTAGCAATTTGGATACTCTTCCCAATCCCTGGCATTTACTCCCAGGATCTCCTTACCATTGTGGCTGCTTCCATAGGCAAAGAGCAGGTAAAACAAGCTGCTATATCCTGAGCTCCTCTGAGTAGAGATCGGATTCCTGGAAGTGAAGGAACAGCTTAGAACCCCATTTTGACTTGAAGCTGTTACGTCCGACACGTTACCCTGTGAGAAAAATCTTAATCATTTTCATTTTATATGTATAGTCACTACAGGAGAGTTTATAAGAACAGTTCTCACTACTTTGTATAAGAGGTTATATAGGAGGTAATAAATGCTTCCACTGGTTTATGTGAGAGCTTTTCATTGATGTTTCTACAAGGTTTTCAGTACAGTATGTGGAAGACTTTAAATTTATATGTATATGGAAGTTAATTCTTATTTATGATTCTGGTGGCACCCCATAGGCCATGCCCTTTATGTCTATAGAGCAGATAGAAATGAGAAAGACAAAATTACCAGAGGCTGAACTTGTGGAGCTGTTCGTCCTGTAGAAAAGGCATGCTGGACCCCCGTCAACCCCTTCCTGTCGATGCCACAGATATAGATGTCATCATTTCCCTGAGAAAGGGGGGAGAAAGGGAGAAATTTATTTTCATAGCTTTCACTGTAAACGGTAAATATTGTTTATGACTACATGCGTGCTCGGGGTGTGGGACTGCTGGAGAGTCATCGACGAAATGCAAAACAAAATCATTGGGGCAAGCTCATTCAGGAGCAACATGTCGTGCAAGTCAACTACTGGATAAAATAAACTGGTTTTCCTTTACAGAAACCTTTAACCAACCTGACTGTATTGTCTCTGTAAACCATCAGGAGATGACACACGTTGTGAACTGGTGCTATGTAAATAAACTGCATTGAACTGAGTTAAAGGTGTTTTAACCTGTTGTAACATTTAGACATCACTCACTGTAAGGATTTTTTTTTTCTTTTGCACGATGACGCTTCTTATTTGTATTCTTAAAGTATTTCAGTCTTTAAAATACCACAACATGCACATAAAGTCAGTCTGATAGTATAATTTCCAAACAAATAAATCAGCTGCTTAGTTACAGAGTGCTTGAGGCCTTCTTACCAAAAAACTTTTCTTACTTTTCCATCAGTAAATGGAAAAGATGGTCACTGTTAGAAATCCAGTTCTGTGTGGGTTGTGTTTTTGTTTGTTTTCTCCCTCCACCACCAGGTGGCGCCCTGTTCTCGTTGGCCCTTCCACACACCTGCACCTGGTTGGCTCATTATCTGAGGACTCTTAAGCTGCTGACTGCCACTACCTCGACGCCAGAGTGTTTGCCGGTTTTAGGTACTCTAGCCAAGCTGAGTTTAGCTGAGTCTAACTGAGTCTTTGTCTCTCTGAGTTCTAACCTTGTTTTTTGTCTTTGCCTCTCGGCAGGAAGTCATCCTGCAAACTGGATGTTTGGCCTTCTCCCCCTGGAAGGATTGTTTGAGCTTTACATTGAGCAGGGGATGCAAACTGGATGTTTGGCCTTCTCCCCCTGGAAGGATTGTTTGAGCTTCACACTGAGCAGGGGATAAATCTGCACACGTACCATTCAAGTTCTCCTGGAAATCTAAGTGGCAGTCCGCTCCATTGCTCCTCAAGGAACCAACCTAACCAAAGTAAAACCTGTTCGCCCTCCAACGAGTCAACCAAGTTCTGGAATAACCCACACCGACTTGATTCTGGGAAGAACACCTTTTGGGAAACGTGAGTCCCGTTTCATTCTATGTTTTTGCAAGTCGGCGTTCAAGTTTCCCACAGAACCTGAACTTAACTCTGAACTTCCCTTTTCACTTCCAGTTCCGGTTCACAAGCTCTCCGAGTTACCCTGGATCCAATGCATCGTGTGTTTTCATTAAACCTGTGAAAGTTTAACTCTGGTTGTCTGAGTGGTTTCCTGCATGTGGGTCAGATCCCTTAAAAAGAACATGATAGTCGCACACATTAAGCCTGGTTCTGCTGGATGTTTCTTCCTGTTCAAAGGGAGTTTTTCCTCTCCACTGTTGCTACAAGCATGCTTAGTGTGAGGGAATCCTGAAGAGTCAATGACTCGATGCAATCAAGTCGTTTTCCTTAGTTAGAAAACTTTGAATCAATTTGACTGGTGAACTGTAAAGTGCCTTGAGATGAAATGTGTTTTGAATTGGCGCTATTTCTATAGCACATGTGAACAAGTGCACACATCGGCTGATACAAGAATTAAAGTCGGCATGGAAGAAAAAAATCCTTTTGCTGCTCATGATAAAGACTGAAAGCTTTAAGCAGAGTTGATCCTACCATCATTTGATCGTCTGAGAACCCAAAGGCCACATATCCATCAGCAGTTCCTGTCATCTCATAGCGGACAGCGGATCCCCCAGGAAGCACCTGAGCTGACATGAAGTAACACAGAGAACCGGTGGCTGGATCGCAGCCTGCAGGTCGACTGAAGCACACCTTCGAGTCACCACAGCCCGCGCTGGAGATGGTCTACACACAAACAGATAAATTCATTAAACTTTGACAGAGAACAAGCTGCTGCCTGGTTCAGAATTTATCTCTAAAATAGGACACAATGCGATAACTGTGGTGGTATTTGATCCGAAAGACGTCCACAAGGGAGTACCACAGGGATCTAAAACGGGTTCCCTTCTGTTCCTAATTTCTATAAACGAATTGGGACAGAATGTGTCTGAGGCGAATTAGCATTTTATGCAGATGACGCATTTATTTGTTACGCTGGAGCCAGGCCTACTGAGGCTACTGTTCTTGTAGAGTCAATAGTGCGTGTCCTAAAGAATGACTTAAAAAAAAACTGATAAAACTTTATTTATTATTAAACATTAATTCCCTCAGCAAAGTCATTGGTACTGGAGCTGGTACTTTGGAACCTCTGTTATAGACAATGAAGAAAAACCCCGGCAAACTACAGAGGAACAGAATAAAGAAATACAAGCAGTTCTAATTAACATTGTTAGTTTTAAGATTTTCTGTCCTGTTTGTTAGTTAAAACTCAGATCAAATCAAATCAGTAACAGCTTTTAAAGAGCTTTGCCACCTCTGGCTATCATCATGTGTTATTTTGTGTGAGCTAAATCAGCTGTCTGTCCTTTGTTCCAGGTCATGCTGCCTTTGCAGGCCCTGATAGGAGAACTTTTGTTTTCCTTTTCCTAAGACTTTATTTATGGTAAATGGTAAATGTCCTGTACTTATATAGCACCTTTATTCAAGTCAGCAGACTTTGCAATTCATTCACCCATTCACGCACACACTTATGGTGGCAAGCTACATGGTAGCCAAAGCTGCCCTGGGGCTCACTGACAGAAGCGGGGCTGGCGGCACCGGGCCCTCTGACCACCATCAGAAGACGATGCAGGTGAAGTGTCTTGTCCAAGGACACAATGACAATGAAAGTTGGAGTCGGGGCTTGAACCGTCAACCCTTCGATTTCAGGGCAAACTCCTACATCCAACGCCACTGTCGCCACTGTTAATGTTTCATCACTATATATAAACATTCATTCTCTCAGCAAAGTCATTGATATTTTACACAGTGTACTTCAATACCTCTTTATATAAAAGCATAGCAATGAATACTCTTAGCATTGTAATTAATTTTTTTCTTTGATGATCCCGACGTGTTTGTGTTTTCACATGTGCAAATGATTGGATGCTACGGATCGAAGTTCCAGGACAGATCGTGTAGTGACAGAATTACACCTCTCCCGCTCAGAGCTATATCACACAGCTTATTTATTACGAGTCATGGCTACTAGTCCCCCATCATCAGTAGCTCAGCTTACTAGCCTCCCTGGTTGTTCATGGCGGGCTCCGCTGTGGAGGAGCAGCTTATGAAAGAGGGCTGTAGCACGTCACACAGTAAGAAGGAGGGACCTGTAATGTGTGCTTGTTCAAATATTAAGGCTAAGTCCAAGGTTTCCCCAAACTCCTTACAGCAGATTAAAGCCTGGATTATGCTCAGAAATCAGGTCGTCTGCGTGTGTGTCAGAGCTAACGCAGATATGCCCCGCCCCTTCTGCAGAAACTCTTGTTCACCTCCCCAAAATTGTAGGTGACCGCAGAGAGGAGGCCTCTGATTGGTCGATTCTAAATCCCTTCTACACTATGCGTGTTTCCTGTTTGGAACCTTACCGGCTTGTTTTGTTTGTATGACCGCCATTTTGGAAAACGACTCTCTTCCAGCTCCAGTACCAATTATTTCTTCTATTTTTAGATTGATTGGCTGCATCTCAGTCAAAGTGCGCGTTGGTCCAGTCGCCATTGTTGTTGAATGACCTCCATAATGGTACAGAAATGCGCCACCCACCCCTAGCTAGTTCAGGATTGTCCCTCTTGCGTTGTGGCGTGGAATAACATAGCGCAGACCACGCTTCAAATTTGGGCATAAATCAAAAATATCTGCATCATACCTGCAACAAGCTAACTGCGACACACTGCTGCAGGAGTATAACCAGCCCTTTATATGTAATGCCAAGTTAACACTGACTATGGGGAAGCTGCAATGTGGGCGCTAAAAGCAGTGTTCTATAGTAACAAAGTAAAAATACTTCACTACTGTACTTAAGTATATTTTGAAGCACTTTATACTTTACACAATATTATATATTTATACAATACAAACTTAATTGCATACTTTTACTCCAATACATTTTCAATGGTTTAGTTACTAAGTAAAATAAAAAAACGAGCGAGGGAAACGTGTTTTGACCCCGCCTACTGACTACAAAGTCGGGTCTTGCCTGGGCTCGTTCATCAACACCAGGATACACCTTTTTCGCAAAGCCACTCTAAATGTATCCTACACTTGGTTGTTTATATTATTTTAAGTGAATTTAACCTTCGAAGTTTACCAAAATGTTAAAAAATGTAATTCAAACTGCACTACTTTTTACTTATACTTTTCACTACATTACTTGAGTACATATATTTTTACAGTAATTCTTATACTTAAGTACAAGCCATTTCAGATACTTTAAGACTTTTACTCAAGTAACATTTCAGTCAGTGACTTGGACTTTTACAAAAGTCATATTTTGGAGCGGTACTTATACTTTTACTTGACTCCAAGATTTCAATAGTTTACACAACACTGGCCAAAAGGATCTTAAAGTTTGATAACAACTGATAATGGGCTCAAATTTGACAAACAGATTAGCTCCGTTGTCAGCTCGAGCTTTTTCCAGCTCCGTCTTTTGGCCAAAGTCAAGTCTTTTCTCAGTCGGCAGGATCTTGAGAAGGCAATCCATGCTTTAATTAGTTCAAGACTGGAAAACTGCAGTTACTTACTTGTCTGAGATTTTAACTTTCCGCCATTGTGGCAGAGCTTTACGCTCCTCGGGTCAGCTTCTGCTAGAGGTCCCTAGGTCAAGACTCAAACAGTGGGGCGATCGTTCATTTTGCTGTCGCTGCTCCCAGACTGTGGAACAAACTACCCCCTGACATCCGCACCACTACTGACCTCAGCCTTTTAAAAAAAAAAGCTTAAAACCCACTTTTTTGTAATTAGCTTTTAATTCTGACTAGAATAATACTGTCTCTTAGATGTCGTCTTTCTGTGTGCTCCTATCTATGCCCCTCTGGAAGGCTTTTGATGTCCTTCAGCACTGCGCCAATACAGCACTTTTAATTGTATCTTGTATGTTTTATATGTGTTATGTATTGTTTTATGGCTTTGTTGTAAAGCACTTTGGGAACCATTTGGCTATTGTAAAGGGCTATACAAAGAAATTTTATTTGATTTGATTAAAGTCATTAAAGTCAACGTCTAAACAGCATAGCATGGATCCAGTTACTGAGCCCACTGCAGAAAATTCTGCAAAGTTTGGATTTTTGCAGGATGGCACAGAAGGCCCATGTAAAGAGCCTGGAGATACGCTAGATAAAGAGGAAGGAAAGAAGAAAAGAACCTGGTTGGTTGATTGGTCAGACAGTTCTGTGATCCCATCAGGTAAACAACTTGATAGTATCTTAAAGATGCTCAGTCTGCTTTAAAAACTCACTTGTGATTAAACTGACAGATCTAAAATCACCAGCAGTTTCAGAGCCGCTGGATTCAGGAACAGGATCTTCTAGGTATTGGACCAAGTTCCGATAATCAAAGACAGAGACAGGAATTCAGAGCTTCTATTCACAAGATGCAAGATGGTTACTTACATTATAGCCTGGGGTACTGGTGCTGTTATCATTTATTAGACTCAGAACTGGGCTTTTTACATCGACCCAGAAAGTCTTGTAACTCTCCACAAAGGAAGCGCTGCAGGGACAGGAAGAGACAAGCAGCAGTGAGTCAGACATTCCTGGACCAGAACACAGTAGAACCCGTCTCCTCCTTACTGGAACTGGACCGCCTCAATGCTTCCTACTGAGTCGGGTTTCCATTTCACCTGGATGTTGGTCTTGGTGGAGTCGGATGTGTGGGACACCGCTGCTTTCTGCGGAGAAACACAACCAGTTTTGGTCTGTTAGGTTCTGCAGCTCTGAGTTCAGTGTGGGATGTCGAACACTAGAACGGATCTCATGGAGAACATTTAACGAAGTGGGTTACCTCAAAATAAAGAACTAAGAATAATTATTATCCTCCAGGTTTACCTGAGTGAAGTTGGCCCCCCCACCTTCTTCAAATCAGACAAAATTAGTGTCAAACCTTTGTGCTACGTTTGTGCTGATTTGTGCAGCCACACTTTTTGTTTGTGCCGCTATCATTTAAAAGATATAAAGAGATGTTTCTAGAGGTCATCAAAGGTCAACCAGCCCCCCCACCTTCTTCAAATCAGACGAAATGGGTGACAATTAACTCAGCTCAGTTTGTGCTGTTTTGTGCAGCAAAAATTTTCATTTTTCATTTTTTTACAGTTTAAAATGATATAATCATAGGTTAGCAACTTATAATTTATATGAAATTCAGAGTTTCAGAATTAACAAATGTTCACTGACCTTTGATGGCTTCTACAAACAATCATTAATATCATTAAAATGATAGCAGTACAAAAAAAGTAAAATTTTAAAATATGCATTTTAAAAATTTTTATATATTTATTTTAAAAATGTTATATTTAAAATAAATGTTAAAATGTAAATATTTTTGTATGGCAAAACATGCAATAAATTCAATAATATTAATAATATTTTGTAGAAGCCATTAAAGGTCAGTTAACGTCTGCTTTAGCTGCACAAACGGAGCCGAGTTCATTGACACCCACTTTGCCTCATTTGAAGAAACATTTCTTTATATCTTTAAAATGGTAGCGGCACAGATGAAAATTTTTGCTGCACAAACGTTTGACACCAATTTTGTCTAATTTAAAGAAGGTGGGGGGGCTGGTTGACCTTTTGACCTTAACATTTTCATTAATATCTTCAAAGCCAAAGCAGCACAAACAAAAATTTCTGCTGCACAAACGGAGCTGAGTTAATTGTCACCCATTTCATCTGATTTAAAGAAGGTGGGGTTGATGACCTCTAGAAATATTTCTTTATATCTTTAAAATGATAGCGGCACAAACCAAAATGTTTGCTGCACAAACGTTTGACACTAATATTGTCTGATTAGAAGAAGGTGTGGGGCCAACTTCACTCAGGTTCCAGGTTTGCTGTCCAACCAGATCCAGGCTGTTCTAATCCTGTTATCACTGCCCTGCATGTTTTAGACGACTCCTCAGCAGCCAGTGAGTGCTGCAGATGGCAGATTCATTAAACTCAGCCGTGTGGCACCAAGGAGACGCCCAAAACATGCAGAGTCATGATAATTGAGGACAAGAATTTAGAACCTCTGTTATAAACAATGAAGAAAAAACCCCAGCAAACTACAGAGGACCAGAATAAAGAAATACAAGCTGTTCTAATTGAACATTGTTAGTTTTAACATTTTCTGTCCTGTTTGTTAGATTAAACTCAGATTGGCCGACCTGTTAAATATAAATCAGGATCCAGTAACAGTTTTTAAAGAGCTTTGCCGCCTCTGGCTATCATCATGTGTTATTTTGCGTGAGCTAAATCAGCTGTCTGTCCTTTGTTCCAGGTCACGCTGCCTCTGCAGGCCCTGATAGGAGAACTTTTGTTTTCCTTTTCCTACGACTCCAGCTTCAAACCGATATCTGTGTTTATCTCATCATGTCCTGTTTGTGTTGTTTATGACATCTTCTGCTGTGACAGAGGTAAAGAAAAGTTAGTGCACCTTTTGTTTAATCAGAACAGCTTTGATCTCTCTCTGTCTGTTCTTATTATTTCATAATTGACGTACCACTAAGATTATTTTTTTTGTTAACTGAATTTATTCAGGTAAAATCTTTCGCTTTTCCATTAGCAGCATTAAAATACTGCATTTTGAAATCCAAAATTTAATCCAGCTGAGTTAAACTAGTTGCTCCTGTGATGAAAGCAGCAGTTACTTGGGTGAAAACCTGACAGCTACCATATAGGAGGTAGTAGTTTGCTGCTCCACCCTCTCCCCGTGTAACTCCTGAGTGGAAAATCAGATTCTGCATATTCACATTTTGATCTCAGTGAATTTTGAGAAAAAATTATTTATTATGCTGCTCCAAATGTTGCCTACTTTTATCCATTATTTGTCTATTAACTAAACACCTAATAGTTCACAAAGCGTGACAACCATTCACACTTTACAGTTGCACCATGAGCAACTTTGGTGCAACTATCTGCAGCACCTCCTACATGGTAGCCGTCGTGTTTTGATCCGGCGTGGCCTAGTGGTTAGGGCATCGCGCCTGGAATCCAGCGATTCTTTATTTATTTATTTCGAACAGACAGTAAAAACAATCAAGAAAGAAAAAAAATTTGAATGAAACAAACTTAAGGATGAAAATATAAAACAAATTATTTTGCCCATGTGACATGCAAATTTTATATTTTCTGTTCGAAACGGAGCAGGTAGAAGATCCATCTTATAATGTCCTGCCCCTTTCCTACTTGTCAATTTATCATCAATTAACTGTGAAAACATCAAAAAACCAAAAAAAAAAAACACTTGTTTCCATTCCACATGATGTTTAGCCATGTACAATTATTTTAAGTACTATTTATGTCATTATAGACTATTAAACAGTCATCTTATATAGCATATTTTGAAATGAGCTCGGTTTTAATCAGTTTTTAAGATTGGTTTGCATTTATAATTTTTTTAAACTCGTCATTCAATCCATTCCAGACATTTACTCCACACACAGATAAACAAAAACTCTTCCTGGTTGTTCTAAAGTGTTGTTTTTTAAAGTATCCTTCACCTCTTAGATCATAACCCCCCTCTCTGTCACCAAACATTTCCTGTATATTGTGTGGAAGTTTTTGATTTCGGATTCTGGGTTGAACAATGGCCACATGCATCTCCCCAAGGGTATCGGTTAAAGGCAGGGAGTAAATTTTGATGCTCTGTAATTGTGACAATGTAATGAGAATAATTACGTTGGAAAAAAAAGAGCTGGTTACATGCAAGGTGGTTTGATTTAACCTGGTTTTCATTGTGTTTTCAAGGGTCACGGAAATTCTGAAAAACAAGGATAAATTAAAAAATACAAATGCTAAGAGGATATAAAATGGCAAAGCAAAAAAGGATTGAATTACTTTTTCATTTTTGTTATAGGGACAGGTATTAACAGTCAGATTTGTGAATTGTGGTTTTTAAATCGGAAATAGAATTTGAAAAAAAAAAAACATTTATTGCAGTATCCATCCATTCATACAGCTGGATGCTCCGTCTGGACCCAAACAGAGTGGCTATTTTCAGGTATATTTGTCTGATGATCACTCAGGAGCAAAAGCCTGAGGTCCCTCCTATAGCACACAAATATTCACCCATTTGTTCACACGCCGATGGTGGTGAGCTGCACTGCAGCCCTGGCTGCCCTGGGGCAGACTGGTAGAGCCACCTGACCCTAAACAGCAGGCAAAGCAGGTGAACGACTGAGACGGATGGAGGGGGGGGCTAGAACCATCAGCCCAAAGAAAGATCCACCATCACCAATGAACAGTGATGGGAGTAACGGCGTTGAAAGTAATGGCGTTACTAACGCCGTTACCTTGTTTTAGTAACGAGTAATCAAAATGATTACTTTGACTGTAACTATAACGCAGTTACCATTGCAGACACCCCGTTACTGCACGTTACTCAGGTCGCACAATTAACCTTTTTTTATTAAAGGACTCGCCTGGTCATGAGAGAGGGGAGGATGAGAATGGCTGATGTATAGTGAGATTCCGTCTGTCAGTTGGGTAGGTGGGTGTTTCTGCTGGCGGGTGTTAACGTACAGCACACACAGAGAGATGGAGAGTGAGGAGGACTCCTGCAGCAAAACAGCGTTTTCCAGATGGAAATACCGGTGTTACGTCGAGCTGCGTTTCCCCATCAGATACGGTTTCCCCTGCATCTCCGCACAGCGCAGGCGGCACGATACACTGCGCAAGCGACAGGAAACGCGCATGCTAGCCAAAGGCGCGCAACAGGCGCCCTGTGCTCGCACCACAGGAGAACTATGGAGAGCGTGAACGATCAAATGATAGCCTAGATGGTGAAAGGGAGAAACAGGATGGATGGATGGATGGATGGATGGATGGATGGATGGATGGATGGATGGATGGATGGATGGATGGATGGATGGATGGATGGATGGATGGATGGATGGATGGATGGATACGCTGCCTTTTCAACCTACTGTATTTTTTATTTTAAACATTATTTGATGGCCTTTGTGGCAGGGATGGAGATCCATATTTTATGTCACACGCAGAGTATAGATCTAGATAGATAGATGATAGATAGATAGATAGATAGATAGATAGATAGATAGATAGATAGATAGATAGATAGATAGATAGATAGATAGATAGATAGATAGATAGATGTTGCAGTATCTATAACAACCTAAACACACAGGATTTCAGAATTAGACATCCCCAGTTATTAATTTCATAAACTCACCAGATCTGAATGCCCTGTTAAAAACTTCACATGGCGTTCCCCCCTGATGTCATTTACGTTGAGTTGCAATAAATGCTAAACTCTCTGCAGGTTCTTGTCTTTGTCGTCCGCTCTATTCAGCTGGCTTTGGAAACACACGGCGAGAAGGTGGGGGCCGGGTGGTGAGGGTTACGGGGGCCAGAAACGCAAAAGTAACGCAATAGGTACTTGAACTAGTAACTAGTTACTTTTATTGTGGAGTAACTCAGTTAGTAACTCAGTTACTTTTTGGGAGAGGTAACTAGTAACTATAACTAATTACTTTTTCAAAGTAACGTGCCCAACACTGCCAATGAATGGATGAAGACAGCATTCAGAGTCCTGAAGCCAGAAACAGCTTCAATCGGACTCTTAAGCAAACACTGGAAGGCTGCAGAGATGCTGATAGAGACCAACGCTCTGTTAGATTATTAAACAGGTGAAATAAGACCTGAGGAGAACAACCCTTCGATTTAAGGAAACCAGAGTCCCAGAAACTGAATCTACCGCCGCCTTCAGCAGACCAGTGCCTCTTTATGTTGGTTCTTTGTATTTTTGTGTTAACCTACAGTAAAATGTGACAGTCTGGTGTCATGTTGCAGGTTTTCACCCGTTTTGTTTTCTGTTCAGTAGAAATATCCCCCTGAGAACCTTCATGTCTATAAAAAGGTTCAGGTTCCCTTAATTCAGCCCTTTGTGGATATAAGAACGTCTCAGTGATGATCAACCAGGCCAGTAAATATAAACTAATCGGATTAAGTCTGAATCCAGTAAAGGATCGGTCCAAATGCTTGTTCTGAACCTCGGTGTTCTAGTATCGTCAGCTTTTATGTCTGTTTAGGACCGGTTCCGCTGGTTTTTGTGAACTGGTTCAGGACGTTTTCAACTTACAGGTCTCTGGAAGCAGGTGAGGAGTCGGGCCGAGTCTGAGTCCACTACGAATGAGCCCACACCAGACTGCCCCCCCGGCTCTCTGGCTGCCAACAGGAAACCCATAAATGGACGGGAAGCTGGAGCCTGAAGAGAAACTGAAGGACAGAAAATCTGTCAATCCCTGAAATTATCTTCTCTATTCATAACAGAAAAACAAAGTGACTCCATCCTGGAGAGAAATATCTGCTGTGCTGCTGCCATAAACACCTTTGTTTCTAGATGTTGGAGCTTGGCCTGTTTTCCAGTGTAGTCCTGTTTCTCTGACTGTGACTAACTGGATGTGCTCTCTTCATCCTCTGACACGGGAGCTGGCTCGGAGCTCGTCTGCCTGGCTGTGTGTTTCCTGGACGGGGCCGCCTGTGGAGCTGGTTGACAGTTGACTTTTGTATCTATGCTTCTTTTTCTATGTCTGCTTCTGTCTCCTTGAACCCCAGTGGGCCTCAGCAGATGGCCGCTCACACTGAGCCTGGTTCTGCTGGAGGTTTCTTCCTGTTCAAAGGGAGTTTTTCCTCTCCACTGTCGCTACAAGCATGCTTAGTGTGAGGGATTGCTGAAGAGTCAATGAGTCGATGCAATCAGCTGGTTTTCCTTAGATAGAAAACTTTGAATCAATCTGACTGGATGATCTGGTGAACTGGAAAGTGACCTGAGATGACATGATGTGAATTTGGCGCTATAGAAATAAACTAAATTGAATTGAATGCTGCTGTTCTTTATCTATGAATATGAGTGTTTTGCTCATTTATTCTTCAGATTAATGTGATTATAGTAAACTTACCTGAAACTAGTTCAGCGCCTTATCGGTTTGTGGCAACTCCAATGAAAAATGATTAAATCTAAGAAATACATTCCAGTTGGTTCTTCTGTTTCTGTCTGCTAGAAAACCTCAGATATGAAGAGTTTAATTTTTCCTGGTTGAGGAACCAATCAGTGACTCACCTGTAACGTCCTCTCCTGGTCTGAAGCCGCTCTGCTTGACGCTGACGGTGAACGGGGATGCTGTGGTCTGAGGCGACCCAGCATGGTGGGGACTCATGTCCACGCAGCTGTCTGAGACCAAACCTGAGCTGAAGCACCAAACCACAGGAACGGCAGAGAGCAGAAGGAAGAGCTTCATGATCCGCTTCACATAGGGAGCCTGAGAAAAACAGGAACTCTGATGTTTTGTTTCCTTTAGAGGAGCAGCTGGAGGAGGGGAGGAGCAGGAGGTGTAATAAGATGATGGCAGGAGCAACACCTGCTCCAGGGAAGGACTCACAGGAAACTCCCAGTTCCAATTCTAGAGAAACCAGTAAACCAAGCAGCTTCCCCAGTGAAGGGCCACTTAGGGGCCCCTTGAGATCCTAAACCGTATAACGCAGCTTAGCCATCCTCCCTTCCCTGGTTGGGTGTTTGAGCCTGTGACTCTTAGAGACAAAATGAAGAAGTTTCAGAACTAAAATAAGACCTTTTCCCTGAACGGAAAGAGGAAAAGAGGCTGAATGACTCTAGGGAAAAGGTTTTAAAGATGACAGAAGGATGAATCCATCTATCAGCTCAGATTCATGATCAGATAGGAAAGAAAAATAGTTTCCAGACTGAAACTTTATGAAAACAAGTAGCCTCCTAATCCGGTGTTCTGCCAGATGAGCATACCCCATCAGACCAGCATACCTATAGGCAACATGCAAGATGTCAGATTTGTGTTCATCTCTTTTGTTTTGTACAAAAAATAGACTTTAAACTACCTCAACATGCGTTGACATGTACAAAAAAAGCAGTTTAAGGTCAGATTGCCATTCGCTTCAAAAAACACAAAAAAGTAAGTAATTAAATTGTACATGACTAAAGGGAAACAAGCCCTACATACAAAACTGAGGAGATACTGACTATGGGTATGCTGGTCTGACAGAACGCCGGTTCTGGTTTTTAAAGGAAAAGTCCTGAAATATTCAGAATCTAAACTTCAGAAAGTTCTTTAAATCTGAAATGATTCCATCCTGTTCAATAAATGATCAGTGTTTTTAATTCAGAGTAATTTTCATGTGAATGTGCTTTACTGGAGGCATCCATGTTTGTCAAAGAACACTACTGCCACCTACTGGTTAGTGACGTCACGGTGCGGTATCGGCTGTTGATCAAGTCCCAGTGCTGTATCTGGTGTTTGTCGCAACAAAAAGCTCTGAAAGCTACGGAGCCCCAGAAATGACATGAGAGAAAAAGAGATACAGCGAGCACAAAATGATAATTTGTTCCAAATAAATCCTAATTTGTTCGCACAAAATGAAAATTTGTTCCCACAAAATATTAATTTGTTCCCAATAAATACTAATTTGTTCACACAAAATGTTAATTTCTTCCCACAAAACATAATTTTTTTCCAAATAAATACGAATTTGTTCGTGCAAAATGATAATTTGTTCCAACAAGATATTCATTTGTTCCCATAAAATATTAAGTTGTTCCAAATAAATCCTAATTTGTTCGCACAAAATGAAAATTTGTTCCCACAAAATATTCATTTGTTCCCAATAAATACTAATTTGTTCACACAAAATGATAATTTGTTCCAACAAAATATTCATTTGTTCCCAATAAATATTAATTTGTTCACACAAAATGTTAATTTGTTCCCACCAAACATAATTTTTTTCCAAATAAATACGAATTTGTTCGTGCAAAATGATCATTTGTTCCAACAAAATATTACTTTGTTCCTAATAGATACTAGTTTGTTAGCACAAAATATTCATTTGTTCCCATGAAATTTTAATTTGTTCCAAATAAATTCTAATTTGTTCGCACAAAATGAAAGTTTGTTCCCACAAAATATTCATTTGTTCCCAATAAATACTAATTTGTTCACACAAAATGATAATTTGTTCCAACAAAATATTAATTTGTTCCCACAAAACATAATTTTTTCCCAAATAAATACGAATTTGTTCGTGCAAAATGATAATTTGTTCCCACAAAATATTCATTTGTTCCCAATAAATACTAATTTGTCCACACAAAATGTTAATTTGTTCCTAATAGATACTAGTTTGTTAGCACAAAATATTCATTTGTTCCCATGAAATTTTAATTTGTTCCAAATAAATTCTAATTTGTTCGCACAAAATGAAAGTTTGTTCCCACAAAATATTCATTTGTTCCCAATAAATACTAATTTGTTCACACAAAATGATAATTTGTTCCAACAAAATATTAATTTGTTCCCACAAAACATAATTTTTTCCCAAATAAATACGAATTTGTTCGTGCAAAATGATAATTTGTTCCCACAAAATATTCATTTGTTCCCAATAAATACTAATTTGTCCACACAAAATGTTAATTTTTTATAATTTTTGTCGCTAGAAGATATATATAACGTATATATAATAAATACTAATTTGTTCACACAAAATGAAAATTTGTTCCCAAAAAACATAAATTTGTTCATTTGTTCCCACAATTTTTTTTTTCAAAGAAATACTAATTTGTGGCTAGACAATATTTATAACGTGTGCACAAAATATTAAAACATAATCTTTCTACACACAGCGCACCTTTTCAAAGGAATAAAACGTGATGGACAGAGATAGCCTGATCGAGTTTTATTTCAGACTTTCCCTCAATCCTGCCCATATAACTGCAAAGCTCTAGACTGGATTTGATGTTAATACTTCAGAAAGAGAAAGATCAAAGGAAAGAACTGGTCCTCTATTTTTGAGGAAAATATGAAAATTAAAAGATTAATTCAGCCAAAAGTGGTGACCTGGAAATGGGTTTGGTTCTATCTACAAATGAAAGATTTCATCATATTTACTTGTTGCGTTTCTGACCCGATTCTCCATCTTTACCGGTAGGTGGCGCCAGTTCGCCGTGTGGATATTTTACACCCCAGAAGAAGAAGCAAAAAAAAAAAAAAAAAAAAAAAAAAAGGAAGCTCCAGCTACAGACACAGGCCGCCATTCGGTCCCTCCGGTGGTTTCACTGGTCATCCCGCTGGGTTGTCTTGTTTAATCCCGGTAAAGTCAGGCGGTCCCTCAGTTTCCAGCGCCGGAGAGAGCAGGACGTCACAGTCCCCGTCATGGCGGCCGACCGGCGCGAGGACAAAGGTGGGCCGCTAGCTCTTAGCATTGCAACAACAATGACGTATTTGTTGACAAAACCTGCTTGGAAAAAAAAAAAAAAAACAGAAACCTACAAAATATCCAAGAGATATTGGACATGTATATCTGATATATTTCTGTTAATAATCTGATGTTTAACACTCGCGAAGCTAAAGCTGCTAGCCACTAAGGAAACGGCTAGCAGCTAATGCTAACGCGGCCACGTCTTTGTTCCAGATTATTGACCAACTCGTTTGATCCATAGTCGACTGTTTACAAATGAATAATTATCTTTCCTGTTTAAAATTATTAAGATTAGCTGAGATCCTTGATTAACTGTGATAAAATTAATTAATAATCTCAATCAGTTGTTTTTTAGACGGAGAATACTTTAAATTGGGGTCGTTTTGATTTTGTTTTTTAGTGTATCTGCTGGAGACTGCGCATAAAGTTAAAACGGAACCAAGCATCGCAATTTGAAAATAAAAATGGCAGCTAATATAGACGGACTTTTCTCCCTGTTTACATCTGTTTTCATGTCATAACTCTTGCAGAATGCTCGGAACCATGAGAAAAGTTCCCCCATCTGGGATTTCCAAAACTTCACATCAGTAACAGTTGAATGAGACTCCTGAAAGAAATATAAATCAGAATTTACAGATGGAAACAAAGCTTTCCTTTTTAACATATTATGAATCCCCCTGGAAAGATTTAACCTTTAAAGTTGTAGGGAACTAATATCTAAATGTCAAATCATTCTGGTTTAAAAATGTACTGTTTATCAGACCATATTGTCCCAAAATTTAGAAGTTTTCTATTTTGAAAAAAAATCCTGTCTAAAAAAATCTGTTAGTTTTTTTCATTATCTTCTGCAGGCCAGTTAGTTCTACGTCAGCCTGAACACCTAAATTCGGCCAATCATATATCAACGGTTATCTGTCAAATGTTTTCGGTCATAGCATCTTGATTCATGTGTCGCAGCTAATATACGCAACGGTTGAAACCAGAATCCTTTCCTTTCCCATTGAGTTGCGTCCCATTGTTCACGGGGATGGACGTCTGTGTCTTCAGCAGGCGTAGAGCTAACAGAACTGGCAGCGTTGCGAGGCAAGGGCTCAAACATGTACGGCTGGAAGCCTTCTACACCAAACCAAGCTTCTGCCGCCCTGGCGTCCTCTTCCACAACATCTTCGTCCCCGCTTTCCTCCTCTAAATAAAAAATGGATGACCGAGGAGACTCATCCACGACCTCCGACACTAAACTCTCCTCCTCTTGCATGTTTCCGCTGTCCATAGCGTTCCTTGACAGCGTTGTTTCTAAGTCACCAATTTAGTGCTACTTGGTCCCAATGGAACTTCCCATTGGGAACCTACTAGCACTAAGTTGCTAACTGATTAGCAAGATGCTTCCCACAAACCGGCCACAACCAAACTTGCTTGCGAACCTTCCGTCACAACAATCCCACCCCGTTGATAATCGACCGATCACATTCACTTTATTCGCCCGTGTAAAGTTGAACACCAATCGGGAGAATTAGGAAATGCAAGGGTTGGAACAGCTGCTTCCCTACGAGTTTAATGAATAAGTAAAAAATGCTCGGTCAACGAAGGCAAATGTTAAAAAAATCTTGTGGACCAGCACCTTGTTAAGGAACTAAATATTATATTGCATCAAAATATACATTCTTGGAACAATAAAGTGAATCAAACAGGAAAGCTAAACTCCTCTGGACCAAAAGTTGGAGGGATCTCCACCCCGTTGATGAAACCGTGTCCACCTATCAAATATGCTGATTTTCCGTCTTCCCTTCTAGACTGAATTAAACGATCAAGTCCAGACAATAGATTTATGACAGCTCGTTAATGTTTTTATCAACTTCGTCGTAGCTCTTTATTTGCGTCACTTATTTCTAGAAAGCAGGAACAACCCTTCCCTCAGGCTCAAAGAAATCCCGCTCTATAATAGAAAAAAACAATCCTGTATATACAATAATAGGATAGTTGATAAACAGACTATCCCAGCATGCATTGCTTTAACAGAATTACTTCTCTTTTTTCTAATAAATGTTCCAAAAACGTAATAATAATAAAAAAACAATCCACTGGACTTTTTTTTCCAAGTTTGAAGATGTTTCTCTTTCCATTCAGGGAGCTTTTTTAATTCAAAATGTCAGATATAGCGTTGAGTTCCAGGACCAAAACAAAGCCTTGTTTTGGCTTAGAAACAGTTAGCAGTTAGTTTGTATTTGGATGGAAAGCTAGGAGGAGTCCTGACTCATTAGAACAGGTTGTGGCTGTCTGCCTTTATCTCATTTCTCATCAGGTTGGGTTAAATACTGAACCCAAACAGCAAATAATGCCTCATTAACGCGTGAAGTAGGCCGTAATAACTAGCATAAGATTCCTTAGTGCTGCAGTTTGTCAGAAAGCAATTATGTTCTGGTTTCAGATGGAGAACTCAACGTTCTGGAGGATCTACTGACCGAAGCTCCGGATCAGGATGACGAGCTGTACAACCCAGAGACTGAGCGAGAGATCAGTGACAAGAAAGGTACCAAACGTTGTACAACAGGTCTGGACTCAGTTCCAGAATCTGGACTAGAATGGCCTTTTAGATGTATGATGTTATAAATCTCTAAAGATCAAAGCTCTGTTCTGGTCTAATCACCTGAAGCTCGGTTCTGCCTCATGATACCTTCAGACGCAGCAAAAACGCACGTGCTGCTTCATTTTTGATGCTTGTAGAAGTTCAGTTCTGACCCGCGGCTGAAGCATCTTTGCTGCTCTAGCTGCTTGGTCGAAAAGTGGGTCTGATGCGCGGTGGGCGGAGCTACCCTATCCTTTCTTTTCCTGGAACAATGGCGGCTATATTAGCTGTGATCAGCGGGTAGAAAGTAGTTAGAATCTATGTTGAAGTGAGAAAGTCCTCCTGAAAACATGGTCTGTGCAGTCAGTTCATCCAGATTACCATCCTGCCTTCAAAGATTATTTCTCTGTGGGAGCCGCTCAGACCCCCACATACCGGCGCTGCGCTGTCACTGGGAATCCCCAGCAGCAGCTGCCTCAGGCCCGAGAGCCTCTTTGCAGATTTCTGCTACTGTTGGTGGCGGCTGGAAGGAGATGTTTAAAACCGAACATATTTGCCAGAGGGTTTTTGACATTTTAAGTTAATTTCTCTGGTCTTACTCAGACAAGAGAAATTGCTTTGAGTTACAGAAGGCAGCGCTTACCAACTGTTAGGATAATTATCATTGATGATGTGTTAGTTTATTACACCTTAAAGGAGAAGTTCGGTTTTTTACACTTTAAGCCCATTTTCTGTAGTGTCCAGGATGAAATCGAATGATCGACACCAAAAGTTTGACAATTGGTCCTGTCTCTGCTTTTTGGCTCATTTAGAATCCCCCCTGGCTGCTTTAGAATGGCTTCCATAGAGCATGTCCGATAATGTCCTTAAAACAACCTTAAACCTTCTTTTTTTTAAATATGCTACTCACCGGGTCGTCAGCGCTGTTCAATGACATTCCAAAAAAAGTTTCGTGAAGAAAAAACGTTCCTGTAGTGTTTTATTTAGCATTTTGTAAATCCCATTGAGTTCTGTAGGAATAGTCAATATTCCCCTGCCACCGGAAACGGAAATGGGGCCTGTTTACACAGTTGTAGTCTTTTCGCTTCACTCTGTGTACTCCGACGTCGAGGTGCTAACGTCTCTGTTAAACACTTTAAAAAACTCTGAAAATGGAATACGAAAGGTGGATTCTTGATTCTCGACGTCGGAGTACACAGAGTGAAGCGAAAAGACTACAACTGTGTAAACAGGCCCCATTTCCGTTTCCGGTGGCAGCGGAATATTGACTATTCCTACAGAACTCAATGGGATTTACAAAATGCTAAATAAAACACTACAGGAACGTTTTTTCTTCACGAAACTTTTTTTGGAACGTCACTGAACAGCGCTGACGACACAGTGAGTAGCATATTTTAAAAAAAGAACGTTTAAGGTTGTTTTAAGGACATTATCGGACATGCTCTATGCAAGCCATTCTAAAGCAGCCAGGGGGGGATTCTGCATGAGCCAAAAAGCAGAGACAGGAGCAATTGTCAAACTTTTGGTGTCGATCATTCGATTTCATCCTGGACACTACAGAAAATGGGCTAAAAGTGTAAAAAACCGAACTTCTCCTTTAATATTAGCTGCCTGTTGCGTGTCAGAACTGATGTAAACGTATCACCAGAATGATTGACAGTTAGGAGGACCACTGATTGTAATGATCCCCCTGGAAATAAAAGATCATCCTCTAAACCTTTAATCACGTTCCACAAATGTGAGAAACAGCAGATATTATTAGTATTTTATAATTTTATTAAGGTGTTAGTTGTTGCCATGTGGCCAAGTTGTTCAGTAGCATGAGTCTCAAATCACAGTTTTAGTTTCTGTTGAAAGCCATCTTGGCTTCCCTGGGTCCGTTGATTGAGTGCAGGTTAACTTAGATGGAGTTAAATAAAGCGGCGGGACAATGAAACTTGGATTGGCCTTAGCAAAGGGAGAGCAGCATCAGCGTCTGCGAAGAGCAACTCTGACCTCCTCTCCAACACACGCTCTTTTTATTATCTTCATCAAGGAGAATCTTACAGTTTCACACAGACAGTCCCACAGAGTGATCATACTCCCTACATTCCTATCTCCATGGATGGAGTTGCTTCCTGTTTTTCTGCTTCTATGAAATCAGCTCTTTCTGTGTGTGTGTTCGAGCAAGGTCATCCTCAGCCTTCCATCTGCACATGTTGTTTGCTACACTAGGTCCTGTGAATCTGCCCTGATGCATATGAACAATAAGTTTTGCTTCAGTTTTAACTTAGCTCTTTCTTTCTTTTAGCTTAACATGTGTATTTATATCTTAATTTCTTTGTGTTAATAGATTTAATAGTTTAATAAATTCCAGAGGTCACGCATTAGTGGAGTATGGTCCGGATCCGGACCCACCTGCTGGCTAATCTGGACCCAACCTGATTTTAAACATTTGTAAATTACCACATTTTCCGACAACTGTCTAATTTCATTTGCGCAGCTTCTCCAGTTAATACGGTAAAGCCCTGGGGAGCGTCCGGCTCCAGGCTGCACGTGATCCAAATGAGCCAATGAGCTGTCAGTCTGGGTTGCTGCTGCTGCTACTTTTAGACACAGCAGGCAAACCTGTGGCAAGCCGGGCGATGGGAAAGAAGGAGAAGACCATGAGAAAAAGAGAGCAGAGAAAGTGTGGACTGCTGGAAGAACTGCGGTGAACTGGTGAAAGAAAAGTGAAATGGCGTGCTCAAAGATGACCCTGCACATTTAGAGGATGTTTGGCTCAACCTGCTGCTGTGAAGCAGGATTCTCCACCATGAACAGAATCAACAATAAATCTGGATCCAGGCTCAGAATGAGCACCTTGATATGTGCTTGAGAATGGCTTAGTCTCCGGTTAAACCCAGGTTTAAAGCCTTGCAGGGCAGCCTAAAGCCCACTGCCAACATTAAGACATAGAATAAATAAATAAAATATGTGACTCCGGAAATTGTCTATATACCAAACTGAATGATTGTTGTTCTCTACTTCAAATTTTATTTCAGCGTTAAATTCTCTTTAATGTAACAGATTCTAAATAAAAATGTATTCGGATCTTTTCTGGTTGATCATTTTCTTTATTCAGACCCCGCTGATTTTTAATTAGTGTGATGAAAGTGTTCTGAGGATTAAAGCTACAGTGTGTAATAATTACAGGGCTATACAGTCAGAAATGTAATATACATAACTATGTTATTTATCATCATCTACGAGCTCAGCCTCTTAACCTTAATATTTGCGTTGCCTTAGAATTCGTTATTTATAATTACATAGGAGCGGGTCTCGCAGCCATGGAGGCAGACATCTTTGTGCTACGGCAGCGCAGAGCCAACAAACTAGCGATTGCGAGATCGCCCATTACGCTCGAAAGTAACTACGGCAAGTTGTTCAAGTCTACATGAAATCTATACCCTACACAGACTAATGAAATACTATCTGTAAAATTATCTATGTAAACAAACCTCATCACTTGAGAAGGACGTCGTGGAAGACATTTTGTACCGTAACGCTCGCCGTACTGTTGGGGGGGAGAAGCGGTGGGGGGGAGATGTTCATGTTGCTGCAGTCTGCAGTCTGACCGTTAGATGTCGCTGAAAATTACATACTGTAGCTTTAAGACACTCTTGTTTTCTTTTTTTATTTGTTTTTAAAGAATAAATAATCAAAATAGCTGTCATGTTTTATGCTTAAGTTTAGAATTTATAGCTTTGTTTCAATGCATCAGTGGTGGTTTCCGGAACTTACAAGGTTCTTATAGAACTCTAAATATTATACAGAAATATACTAATATATATGAATATTCAGGTACTTTTAAATCCATGTACTTTTGAATTCTTAAATTATTTCAAAGGTGAATACTTCAATGCTTTAACGTGGGATTTTTGACTGTGTAACTTTTACTTTTAGTTGAGTAAGATTTGACTGATTATCGATATTTTGTCCATCGCTGGTTCTGACATGGCGAATCCAAATGGACAAATTTCTGTTCTAATCCATCAGATCCAAGCTTAAAATTTAAGATTAAACCATTTCAGTTTAATCCATTAAGTAATTGCCTTTTCTCTGGGATTATTAAAGTATTTCTGATTCTGATTTCACCTCTGAGTCGAGGAGCCGCTGTCAGACGGCTCGTACTGAAGGTTTTTCTTATCACTGCAGTATTTAACCCTCACTCTGGTCTGTCAGGAACAAAGAGGAAGAGCGAGTGCTCCAACAGCCAGGATATGAAGAGGCTCCGCCCCTCTTTAGGTCGCACCTCCTCCAGGTCTTCAGCTTCCACTAAGAGGGGCGTAAGCTCATCGTTGTCCTCCAAGAAGGTGTCTAGTCCTCGCAGTCGCCATGCCACCACCTATCACCACAGCTACTACGAGGATCGAAAGAGTCGGCGAGGAGCCCGAGAGGGGCCCCGGGGCCGTGCCCCTGAGGAGGGACGGCGCAGGGAGCCCCAGAGGGGCCTGGAGAGTCTGAGTCAGGTAAGCTGATGCCAGATGATGGCTTCGCTTGCTGCTAATCAGCGCTCAGATAATCACTTTTTATTCGTGTTTAGAAGCTGCGGCGTGACAGCAGGCATGCAAGCCCCTCCCCTCATGGCGAGGACCAATCAGAGGAGGAGGAAGAGGCAGAGTACAGCTCAGAGCCGGCGTCGGGAAGCTCCTCCCCGGCCGGTTCACATGTGGAGGAGGAGGAGGATGAAGATAATCAGGAGGAAGAGGGGGAGGAGGGCATGGAAGAGGAAGAGGAGGAAGACGAGGAGGAGGAAGGTGAAAAGGAGGAGGAAGAGGAGGACGACGAGGAGGAGGAAGAAGAGTATGACGAGCGTCACGGCGGGGACGGGAACGACTACGACACCCGGAGCGAGGCGGGCGACTCTCGCTCCTCTTCCGTCAGTTTCTCCGATGGCGAGTCGGCGCGGTCGGGCTCCGCCTCCGAAGGATCAGGTAACCACGGTGACGGGAGCTTCTCATTTCCCAGCGCGGCTGAACTTCGCTCTGATGTCCTCCTTTATCCTGACAGGATCAGAGAAGAAGAGGGAGAAGTTGTCCTCGTCTGTTCGAGCCGTTCGCAAAGGAATGGAGAGTAAGAACGCTTTGATCGCTCCTCAGGGTGTTTTTATCGGGGTCCGTATCGGGTCGGTTCTGACCCGCCTTCCTGTCTTTACAGATCCCATCACTCAGCTGCGATACATTCTCAGAGATGCTCGGTTCTTCCTCATTAAGAGCAACAACCATGAGAACGTTTCTCTGGCCAAAGCAAAGGTTGGTTCTGTCCTTCCTCCTCGGTTCTTCGGGTCGTTCATCCCCTCCGGGTGTTTTTTGGTTCTAATGATACTTTTAGTTCCTGTGTTTCCAGTTTTCTTACAATATGCATCTCTTGTTGTCTTGTTCTGTTCCCTGTGGTTCTGATGACTGTGACCGATCCGCAGGGTGTCTGGTCCACGCTGCCGGTCAATGAGAAGAAGCTGAATGCTGCCTTCCATTCGGCCCGGAGTGTCATCCTCATCTTCTCCGTCAGAGAGAGCGGAAAGTTTCAAGGTACCTCCCCGTTCTACGCGTAGCTCCGTTCTCCTTCCTCTTCGTCGCTTTCATCGGTTCCATTCTCCCTTTAGGTTTTGCTCGCCTTTCGTCAGAGTCTCATCACGGCGGTTCTCCGATCCACTGGGTCCTTCCTGCCGGGATGAACGCTAAAATGCTGGGTGGAGTCTTCAAGATCGATTGGCTCTGCAGGTAACCGCTGGTACTGAACTATTAAAGTTCTGGTCTTGTTGGGCCAGAACCGGATGGTTCCGTTCAATTCAGTTTATTTCTATAGCACCAGTTCAAAGCACGCGTCATCTCAAGGCACTTTACAGTTCATCTGATCATACAGACAAAAAAAAAAAATCAATTTATCTAAGGAAAACCAGCTGATTGCATCGACTCATTGACTCTTCAGCAATCCCTCACACTAAGCATGCTTGTAGCGACAGTGGAGGGGAAAACCTCCCCTTTAACAGAAGGAAACATTCAGCAGAACCAGGCTCAGTGTGAGCGGCCATCTGCTGAGGCAGACTGGGGTTCAAGGAGACAGAAGCAGACATAGAAAAAGAAGCATAGATACAAAAGGCAACTGTCAACCAGCTCCACAGGCGGCCCCGTCCAGGAAACACACAGCCAGGCAGACGAGCTCCGAGCCAGCTCCCATGTCAGAGGATGAAGAGAGCACATCCAGTTAGTCACAGTCAGAGAAACAGGACTACACTGGAAAACAGGCCAAGCTCCAACATCTAGAAACAAAGGTGTTGATGGCAGCAGCACAGCTGATATTTCTCTCCAGGATGGAGTCACAGCCAAACAGGAACAGACCAGATGAAGCTACTATGAGAAAAAGCAGAGAGAGCAGAACGTTAGAGATTGAACTAACAGATTCTGCAGAGTGGGAGAATAGAGATAGAATGAAGCAGAATGATGAAAAAGGGGTCCCTATGTCCTCCAGCAGTCTAAGCCTATAGCAGCAGAACTATAGAGATAGATCAGGATAACCTGAGCCACTCTAACTAGAAGCTTTATCAAAAAGAAACGTTTTAAGCCTAGCCTTAAAAGTAGACAGGGTTAAAAGTATTTAAAAAGTGAATTTCTTTAGAAGGTTTTAACGAGCTTTGTTTGTGTCTGCAGGAGGGAGCTTCCATTCATAAAGACGGCCCACCTGTCCAACCCCTGGAACGACCACAAGCCCGTTAAAATCGGACGAGACGGACAGGTCTGCACCTTCCGGTTCTGGTTGCGATCCGACCTCAAAGGGAGGTCGTCCTTTTAACAGTCCTGCTTTATCCGTCCCTCTCAGGAGATCCAGCCGAAGGTCGGCGCTCAGCTCTGCGCTTTGTTCCCGTTGGACGAGAGCGTGGACGTTCACCACGTGGCTCGTCGCGTCCATCACAAGCGTCGGACCCCGTCAGAGCTACGGCCGAGAGGCCGACCTCCGCAGCGTGAACCGGGAAGGTTAGCCAATCATCAAGCTCCTTCCCCCCCGCTTCCTGTTCTTCTGCTGCAACCACGGCGCCACCTGCTGCCGGACCACGGAGACGGCCGCAGCCCGCGGCGGCGGCTAGCTTCCTGAAGCCGATCGCTGGTTGTTGTTGTTTCTGGAGTCTCCCCGCCGGAGCGTCGGCCATTCTGCATCTGGTCCAAGTTTTTGAGTCAGGCAGGAAGTAGAATTCCTCAGGTCCAACAGATTAATTTAATCTGAAGTTAAATTTGATTCTGATTTCATCAACGCCTGAAGCTTAACGTAGAGCCAGCTGTGATCCACCATCACACCTCGCTTTCTAAAATCCAGACGGCTCAGGAAGGAAATTAAGTTTCTCTGTTGTTGCAAAATTTCTGTTTAAGATCTTTGTCTTTGCAGGAAATTGATCCTTCAGGAGCTTAAAAAAAAAAAAAAAGAGGAAAGTTTGGCGGGTAGTCGGACTGTGGCTGACCCTTTCAGAATAAAAGCAGAAAGGACGATGGCTGGACTGATGTGGGGGGATGAGGGAGGTAGAACTGTTTCTGGTTTTTGAGCAGGTGGGTGTGGCCAGGGGGCGGGGCTTCCTGCTTTCTGTGAGCTAAATTACAGAAATGAAGGACTGGAATAAAAAAGTTGGACTAACAGAAGGAGCACCCCGCCCCCCCCACATGAAAGGACACTGTTGCAGCCGATGGACGCCCGACAGAAACCTTGTTTCTGTTTTCAGGACTGTTGGTATGGAGGGAGGGGCGGGGCTTGGCTCACAGGGGGCGGGGCTTTCAGTGTTGGTTAACAGGACTGCACCATCATCATCACCATCATCCCCCTCACCCTTTCAAAATAAGAGGGTCTTTTAAAGCCTTAAAATGGACTTGATGAGGAGAGAAACTGTTTGTTAGAAAGTGTTGCCCCTCCCTCATAACGGCACGAGCAGCGGTATGTTGTCCTTCCAGAGGCTTCTTCTTCTTTGTTTTCCTTATTGCTGTGTGTGTGAAAGAGAGAAAGTGTGAAGCAACTGGGTCAGAACCAGAATCTGGATCAGAGGGCCTGCAGGAGGACCAGTGGGACCAGTAGCAGCCAGTGTGAGGATGGTAATGTGAGCAGGTGCCTGGTGGAGCAGGATCACAGTCACCGCAGCTCAGTGGATGCTTCGGGGTGCCGTCGCCACGGTGACGGGTTCAGCACCACAGTGTAGGCCTGCAGTCGCCATGTTGATGGGATCCAGGAATGACTCGCTCCAGTAACCTACCGGGGTTCATCACCATGGAGACGGCTGCCTTTCTTACCCAGCATGCTTCACTCTGGGTCACTCTGCTCCTGCTCCTCCGTTCAGGCGCCTGCAGACGACGCTCAGGGATTTTTGGTGTCTGCCTTTACGTTGTGTTTGCGTCTCTGTCCGTGTGTGTTTGTCTGAAATCTAACCTGTTTACTTAGGCGTCGACCTGAAGAGTACGACCTGCACGGCAGGAAGAGGCCGCGCGCCGACGGTCTGCCGGACTTCGGGCAGCGAGCAGGTGCTTCATCCAAACATAGTTGGCCTGGTTAGCCTAGCCTGGTAGCTGCTTCCAGGACCTGTCACTGATCTCGCTGACGATCATAACTACTGTTTAACTTTTAATTCATTATCAGGGTTCATTCCGGACCTACGGAGCCAGCCGGTGGACAGGTGAGAGGTCTCCCTCCCCTGGCAGTGGGCGGGGCCACTTTTTTAAACCACTGTTTTAAACCACAAAGTTTGACCCAAGTTGATTATCTGTTTTGAACCCCTGCAGGAGATTTTCTGGCGTGAGGCGTGACGTGTTCCTGAACGGGGTGAGTCCGGCTACAAGTTAACGTTGGCGTTACGTCGGCGTTTTCTCCCATTACTGATGTTAACCTGCGTTCTGTTTTCAGTCCTACGACTACATGAGGGACTACCACCACAACGTCGGGCCTCCAGCTCCCTGGCAGACTCTGGTACGGTTCTAGATAGGATCATTTCAAGTCCAAACGCTTTTTGTCTTAAGAGGTTCTGGTTTTTTCTGGGGATGAAACTAGTGCCAGTTTGGTCCTGTTAGGGCTGAATCCTCCTTTCTTTAATTCCGGAAAAACGGACCTGAACAGAACAGTGCGATTAATTTAACCCACCTGATTAAAGGATTTTGCATTCAGCTGAAATAATCCGCTGTTAGCAGCTCATCAACATACAGACGGCTCATATTCTGATGCTGGTCCAACCTGCTATAAATCTTCAGTTTTACTGTTTTAAATTGGACCAATCAGAGTCTAAACTAAGCTAAGGAGGTTAATGTGGTAGCGACAGGGGAGAGGAAGATCTCCTTTATAACAGGAAGAAACCTCCAGCAGAACCAGGCTCAGTGTGAGCGGCCATCTGCTGAGGCCCACTGGGGTTCAAGGAGACAGAAGCAGACATAGAAAACAAACATTTAAGCCCTGATTTATAAACACTTTGTTAGCAAAAAGGGTAACAATAAACTACCACAGGTGGCTCTATGGGGAAAATGGTTTGGTAGATCAGCTTTGTGCCAGATATAATATCAAAGGGATGATGGAGAGAATATCCCATTAATCACAGTTAAAACTAAGCCCGGAGAGAAACGGGACTAGTCACCGAAAATACTGTAAAGACTGTAGAATGGGAGAAAAGAGAGAATGATGAAAAAGGGGTCCCTATGTCCTCCAGCAGTCTAAGCCTATAGCAGCATAACTATAGAGATAGCTCAGGATAACCTGAGCCACTCTAACTAGAAGCTTTATCAAAAAGGAAAGTTTTAAGCCTAGCCTTAAAAGTAGACAGGGTGTCTGAGATATGATCTCTCTTTTTCATTTTCATCAGAACTCTGGCTGCAGCATTTTGGATCAGCTGAAGGCTTTTAACTACAGTTTGTGGACTTCCTGATAGTAAAGAATTACAATAGTCCAGCCTTGAAGTAACAAATGCATGGACTAGTTTCTCAGCATCACCCCTGGACAGGAGATTTCTCATTTTAGCAATGTTCCACAGATGAAAGAAGGAAATTCTAGAAACCTCTTTGATCTGGGATTTAAATGACAGGTTTTTTACTTCATTATCTGAAATCAGTTTAATCCAAATGAAGTGACTGACTAATCAGCTTCTTTTTCAAAGACTCTGGTCCAAAGACTACAACTGTTTGCATTCAGGAACAGAAAGTTAAGAGTCATCCAGGTTTTTATGTAGTAATCTATGTAATGGGTTAGCTTCATCTGGATTTATAGACAGATATAACTGAGTATCATCATAATGGTCCATTCAGACCAAGAGTTGGACTTCTATAGTATCTCTATGGAAGCAGGGAAGTGGCCAGCAGTGAAATCTTCTGCTCCTCTCTCACCTCCTGCTACTACATGGTGCTGAGGAGTTTGTGATAGCTGCGTGAAGCTGACACCCCACCCACGTGAAAAACATCAGCAAATAGACTGAATGGTTAGTGCTGCATTTGTGCTGCTTTACTTTTTAAGATATAATCATTTTAATTTTTGGCTGATGACGTCACCATCCCCCCATTAAGCTCCGATTTTATCCAAACTGGTCTACTTTTTTAGTGCTTCGTTTGTGCCGATTTGTGCCGTTAAAATTATCGTTTGTGCTACTTTCATTTTAGAGATATTAAAGATTATTTTTTAGGTCATCCAGAGGTCACCATCCCCCCTAACATAGCACTAAAAAAGTAGACCAGTTTGGATAAAATTGGAGCTTGATGGGGGGGATGGTGACCTCTGGATGACCTAAAAAAATAATCATTAATATCTCTAAAATGAAAGTAGCACAAAGGATAATTTTAACGGCACAAATCTGCACTAACGTAGCACCAACCATTCAATCTATTTGCTGATGTTTTTCACGTGGGTGGGGTGTCAGCTTCAAGCAGCTGTTTGTGATCAATGAAGTTGAAATAACAGAATTTTTCTGTAAAATTGCATCACCTATCAAGGATTGGTTGTACTTGTTACAAAGGTTAAAATGCAGCCGAGTTGAAGCTTTTCTTAATTAAAATGGAATTTAGAGAAAATAATGTTTACAAGGTAGAGATAAGGAATGCTCTGAAGAGGTTTTTAGGTGGCTTAAAAAAAAAAAAAAGCTGTTTTAATATAGTCCTAGGAGGACTGTTGGTCATCCTCCCTTTCCTCCAGCACAGACCCTGGTCTGTCGCTGCCCACTGCCCAGCATTGGAGCTCTTTGCCTGGTAGATCTAAACAGGAAATACCACCGAATCAGAACGTCATCCAGACGCAGCTTTGGATGAACCAAAGTGGACGTTTTATATGCTTTGACCTCATTTTTTGTCACGATTACGAAGTCTGGGAGCGGCCATTTTTGCCCAAATATAGTAGCCCCTCCCTCCTGCCATCTTCCAGCAGTGACGTCACGGTGCAGTAAGCCTAGCGCCATTCTCCCCGCTTTCCAAGCTAAATCAATGGGAACTACTAGACACATCTGCAATCAACAACAATTATTGAAGATTTCCAGAGGACTTCACCATTGAAATTCACCAGAGCTATAGTGAAACTGACAATGCCCACGTGCATGGCAGCTGGATGCTGGAATACATCGGGTAAAAGTGAAAAAAAGAGTTATTCCACCTTTCTGATTCCTGATCCTCCACGGACGGGTTGGTCGTTGGATCGCCAACTTGAAGAGGGAGGATTTGCCATCGAACTTCTGGCCAGAGAAAAAACCCGTAATATGTAGCCAACATTTGGAAGAAGAATGTTTTCAAGATGACTTGGATAATAGCGCGTTGTGACAAACACCAGATACAGCACTGGGACTTGATCAACAGCCGATACCGCACGTGACGTCACTAACCAGTAGGTAGCAGTAGTGTTCTTTGACAAACATGGATGCCTCCAGTAAAGCACATTCAGATGAAAATTACTCTGAATTAAAAACACTGATCATTTATTGAACAGTATTTTATTTTATTTTTTACAAAAGTTTGAATTCTGAATATTAGCGGACTTTCCCTTTAATTCTTTGGAACAGCAGCATATATCATCTTTATTTTTATTTTTACAAGTGATTTAAAGAACCAACCATTGAATCTTATTTTGATGATGTCAGCATCCAGAAGCGGTTCTTGTGGTACCAGTAGAACCAGCTGTGCTGAAACATCCATTGATCATGTTTGTGTCGACAGGCGGCGTACCCCAGCGTGGAGCAGCAGCCCCCTCACCACCCCCCCTACTACCACCACAGCCACCCCCCGCCTCCCCCTCACCAGGCCTTTCACCACCATCACCCATCCCTGCCCCCGCATGAGGCTCCACCTCCTCGCTTCAGAGACAAGCAGCGTTTGCCGCAGCATCGCGCCTTTGCATCGAGTCCGGTAGGTTCTGCTCTGGTTCTGTTAGACTGAATGGGTCCGGCTGCAGCTGTCTGAACGTTATCGGTGAAACGTTTCCTGTCTCCTATCCCGCAGCACGACTACGACATGCGGGTGGACGACTTCCTGCGGCGGACTCAGGCGGTGGTGAGCAGCAGACGTGAGCGCGAGCGGCAGCGGGAACGCGACCGCGGGGGGCCGCGGCGGGACAGGGAGCGAGAGCGAGGGAGGGACCGAGACAGGGAGAGAGAAAGGGACAAGGAGAGGGGCCGGTACCGCAGGTGATCACATGGTGGTCGGCGCTCTTATTTTGACAGTCAACTGACTGGTTTCCTGTTCATTTTGAAATAATGTATAAACATCCAAGCAAAACAACCTCCAGGATGACATCTTCAGTGTTTACCTCCAAAATAAAGTTTCATTGTTTCTTAACTTCTAATCTGAGATTCTATGTAAATACTTTTTTATCTTGTGACTTAATTTCCCAGAATCCCTCTGTCGTCGCTGTAGGCTGGTAGTCGCCAACATGAGGGTTGTGGCCCTTAGACAGAAAAAAAAGGCTGATTTTTATTGTGAATGGTTGGATGTTGTTTCCTGTTGACTCCTTCACATTAAACGTTTTTTCTCTTTGTCACTTCCTGTTGAATGTATTCATGCTTTCTGATTGGTTGTCACTGTGTATCCATCCTCACACATGGGGAAATCTGTCATACCAAAAAAAGTTGCTTTTGTTTCCAAGTTTGAAGACGTTTCTCTTCCATCCAGGAAACTTTTTCAATAAAAAAATATCAGAAATAGCGTTGAGTTCCAGGTTTTATATCATCACAACCTAAACTCCTTTACAGGGGAAAAGAAGACATTGGCTCTGTTCGAAAACCTACGACGGGTCCTCCAAGGACGCGGTCTACCTAGACTGGATCCTTCGAAGTCCTTGAAAATAAGGAGACCGGAAGAGTTTAGGCTGTAAATTCGACCAGGTCTACCCTTTGGCGGGTTTTACCGCCGTATGCTCTGTTGCTTAGCAACCGTGAACGTTGACACACAAAGCAGGAAAAGAATGAATACCGAGGTTTTCAAAACTGTTTATTTCTTTTTTATTGTGAAGTGAACAAAGACTACACTCACAAGAATCCAGAGTGGAATAAATGTTCCAACCAGCGGGAGCAGGAACAAATCAAATCAAATGTAATGATAGAAACCTTAGTCAGTTAAATAACCTGCTGCTGTCATTCTGCACATCTCTGATGTTGCTGCTATTTTCAAATATACATTACTGTAAAAATGTCCATAGCTGCATATTGGTTATTTATTCTCCAGTTTTATATTGTTAAAACACTTTACAGTATTTTTTTGTTTATATTTTAACTCTTCCCTATTATGTTATTCTTATAAATTTTTCTAAGGTCCACATTTGTGTGACCATTTTCAATAATCTTTCTGCTGCTGTAAATTTTCCCATTGTGGGAAAATAAAGGGATTTTCTATTCTATTCTATAAAAGGGGTAGAAAGATATAAGTAAATCTAAACAATATATTTATAAAAAATATATCTGCAAAATCTCTAATATTCAACAACAAAAAATAGGAAGTTAAGCATATTGTGCAAAATAGCAATAAAAAGATAAAAATCCTATCAGATTTATAGTTCCCACCCTGCAGATATATTAGAATCTGTCCTTAAATTCCAGCCAAACCCATTTACACAGTAACAGATTAAAACCTTTAGATAAACCAAACATTACCGCCACATATCTGACTCAGTAACCATTAAAACAACTATTTTCATTCATTTCAGACGGAACTATTCAGAGTTGTATTATATTAAACTGAACTTCCAATTTTCACCACTGTTCGGCGCCAAGTAACCTTTCCTCTGATCACGGCTTGCTTGGTCTCGCAATGAATCCTGGGTAAACCAAGAATACCGAGGATACATCGGACCCGTCCTTCAAATTGGGCAAAAAGAAGGACGCATTTTAAGGCCGCATAACGAGGACTCTTGGAATCCGACCAGACCTCGGCGCCGCGCTACGACGTAATCGGCCTTCGAATCCGGTCTTCTAAGGATGCGTCCTAGGTTTTCGAACAGAGCAATTGTCTGTTCAACCCTTTCAGAGACATGGGCCGTTTCCCAATCTGTGTACTTGTGTTTTCTCATTTCCTCATGAAACGTCATCAGCCTCAGCCCTAGTTCCAATTCACAAGAACAGCAGACCGAGAACAAAGTCCCTGGATGTTATTCTCGCCCCTCCCTCTTTACACAGCATGCACTGCAGCAGCTTTCAATGGAGCGCTAACAGAGCTTGAATAAGAACGCTTTAAGATAATTTGAGGTGAGAATATTATACATTTAAAGGCACACTATGGAACATTTACCAATTTTTATGCGTAATAAAAAATTTAAAGTAACGGCAGCCAGGGCTAACATTAGCCCGTCTGCAGCAGCCCTCTCTCTGAAGGACCGCTGGCTCTAATGGTGAGTTTTTTGTTTTATTTGGCAAAATGTTCATTTGATTTATCTGATTGTCTTATTTACTATCCCCCCTATAAATGAAAAAAAGCAGAATTTATCATCTAGAGACTATTAATAACTGGAGGTGAAATGCAGCTCCAGACAAACAGAGCGTGTGGTGATGTCATCACTACACTTCTGTTCTAACTGACCCATATTTATGCTGCACAGTAAATACTATATTTGCAGCCGATTCGGATGTTATCGTCCCAATAAATGTAAGCAGTTATCAGTCCCATAGAATTTTGATTGGTTCCTGTTAAGTTTTTCCTCTCCACTGTCGCTACAAGCATGCTTGGTGTGAAGGATTGCTGAAGAGTGATGCAATGAACTGGTTTTCCTTAGAAAACTTCCAATCAATCTGACTGGATGGTCTGGTAAACTGTAAAGTGCCTTTTGATGACGTGTTGTGAATTGGCGCTATAGAAATAAACTGAATAGAATAGAAAGGCTTCAGATTGTTAATTATCACCAAGTTAATTCTAACCCTAATAAAGAACTGGTTTATTAAAGTTAAATGCTTCAGATCTAGAACTCTGGTTCTGTTTCTGTTTCTCTGGGACTTTTGTTTTGAAAAGCCCGGAAACAGCTGTGTGTGTTAAAACAGCTTCCGGGTTTCCTCGAGCCGCAAGTCCACGTCAGAGTGGAGCGGAGCTGGTAGAGACAGACCACCCAGAACCGAACCGAACCGTGGAAGCATGGCGGACGATGCCACGCGTCGAGCCGTGTCACAGATCCCGCTTCTCAAGACGCACGCGGGTCCTCGGGAACGCGCGCTGTGGCCGCAGCGGCTGAAGGAGGAGTACCAGGCTCTGATCCGGTTCGTGGAGCAGAACAAGGCCGCTGATAATGACTGGTTCCGCCTGGAGTCCACTCCGGACGGCACGCGTTGGACCGGTACCTGCTGGTTCGTGCACGAGCTGCTCCGCTACGAGTTTGCCGTAGAGTTCGACATCCCGGTGACGTACCCGGAAACGGCGCCGGAACTAGCGATCCCAGAGCTGGACGGGAAAACGGCCAAGATGTTTCGGGGCGGGAAGATCTGCCTCACCGAACACTTCGCTCCGCTGTGGGCGCGCAACGTGCCGCGCTTCGGGATCGCGCACCTCATGGCGCTCGGGCTCGCGCCCTGGCTGGCCGTAGAGATCCCGGACCTGATCAGCAAAGGTCTGGTCATCCACAAGGAGAAACCACGTGACGGAGCGGAGTGACGTCAGAGGATGGGGTCTGGCTGGTGGAGGCGAGAAGGATTTATGAACAGGGTTCTGTCACAGAATAACATCTAGCAGCCAAAGTTCTGCAGGACTGGCTGTGGATCCACGGTCTGCTTGGACCTCATTCTGGAGAACAGATCCTGCTCAGTGAGTTCTGGTTCTGAGAGGCTGATCTACTGTCAGTCAGGAGAACAGATGTTGTACAGAAGAATAAAAAGTTCTGGTTCAGATTGTGTGTTTGGTTCTGTAACAAAAAAACTTGGTTCTGAGAAATCTGATGTTCTTAACGGATTCTAGAGCTGCTTAGTCTGGAGATGTGGGATCGGTTCTGAAAAGTACGGAACCCCTCTGATGACATGGTCAAAAAAATGTTTCATTTTGGCCACGAAGTAGTATTTCGTGGCCACGCAATAAGTATAACGTGCGCACGAAATACTTATTAATAATATTAATATCATTCCTGGACAACTGGGTAAGCATATCGAGCGCGCCTTCTCTAAGGTATAAGGCGCGCTCGATTTGCTTACCCAGTCGGTCTCCGCCAGTCACGTGACATTTGTTGCTAAGACGCTATTTTAGGTGGAAAAGGCGTAGTGTAAACAACCGCAGCATAGCTAAACGAAGGACTAAAGGCCCGTTTACATAGCAGCCTGTCCAAGATAAGTCATTACTGTTAATATAAGCCTGAAAACAGGGGCGGATTTATTGATATTATTAATAAGTATTTCGTGCGCATGTTAAACTTATTGCGTGGCCACGAAGTAGTATTTCGTGCGCACGTTATACTTATTGCGTGGCCGTGAAATACTACTTCGTGGCCACAATAAAAAAATTTTTTTGACCATGTCATCAGAGGGGCTCCGTAGAAAAGAAACTGATTCAATTCCCAACATCTGAAAACAAAGATAATGTATGGAGCTAAATAGGGGCCATAAAGTTTGTTAAAAAAAAATAATAATACACTACCATTAAAGTTTGGGGTCACATTGAAATGTCGTTATTTTTGAAGGAAAAGCTGTACTTTTCAATAAAGATAACTTTAAACTAGTCTTAACTTTAAAGAAATACACTCTATGCATCGCTAACGTGGTAAATGACTATTCTAGCTGCAAATGTCTGGTTTTTGGTGCAATATCTACATAGGTGTATAGAGGCCCATTTCCAGCAACTATCACTCCAGCGTTCTAATGGTACAATGTGTTTGCTCATTGGCTCAGAAGGCTAATTGATGATTAGAAAACCCTTGTGCAATCATGTTCACACATCTGAAAACAGTTTAGCTCGTTACAGAAGCTACAAAACTGACCTTCCTTTGAGCAGATTGAGTTTCTGGAGCGTCACATTTGTGGGGTCAATTAAACGCTAAAATGGCCAGAAAAAGAGAACTTTCATCTGAAACTCGACAGTCTATTTTTGTTAGAAATGAAGGCTATTCCATGCGAGAAATTGCTAAGAAATTGAAGATTTCCTACAGCTGTGTGTACTACTCCCTTCAGAGGACAGCACAAACAGGCTCTGACCAGAGTAGAAAAAGAAGTGGGAGGCCGCGTTGCACAACTGAGCAAGAAGATAAGTACATAAGAGTCTCTAGTTTGAGAAACAGACACCTCACAGGTCCCCAACTGGCATCTTCATTAAATAGTACCTGCAAAACACCAGTGTCAACATCTACAGTGAAGAGGCGGCTGCAGGATTCTGGGCTTCAGGGCAGAGTGGCAAAGAAAAAGCCATATCTGAGACTGGCCAATAAAAGAAAAAGATTAAGATGGACAAAAGAACACAGACATTGGACAGAGGAAGACTGGAAAAAGTGTTGTGGACGGAAAAAAAAAAATATATATATATATATATATATATATATATATATTTTTTTTTTTTTTTTTAATCTTCAAATAACGAAAAAATGAATCTGAAAAAGGTTAGTTTGTTGGCACTAGTGGCCCGTTTTTATGGATAGGCTGAAAGGAAAGGGGGAGAGACAGACCACAGGTCAGATTTGAACCTGTGTCCAGGACTAAGGCCTCCATACATGTGCTGTAAAAACTACTTGCCCCGGGAAATTGGGCGATGGTTAACATTGAGCCCCGCATTACGTCTGCAAAGATACGTCCTGGTCTACAATTGCGTAGGGCGCCAACCAGGTGTCAGTGACAGCGCCCCTAAGAGGTCGTGGGCCCATAAGCAACAGCTGTCTCTGCTTACAGATATTTACGCCATTGCCCCATTTATACTATCCTTTTGAAACCGTGCCGAGATCGGCCTGAGCACGGTGACCGAGATAACCATTGTGTGTAAACTGCATGCACAACCGAACCGCGATAAACTGATACTAGTCCATCAGTAGGGCTCGGAGCGGTTCAGTTCTGGCTCGGTTCTAAGATAACAAAGAGCGCATGAGAGGACTGCGTCATCTCCGTACAGTCAGCCTCCGTAATCTTGAAACTTCAGACATTCATAAAAATCCCAGCTTCCCTACCATGACGCATGATTTACAGTGATGATTCTGCTGTTATTGTTTCCTGCGTCTTTAAACTCTGATCAGACGATCGTTTGTCGTGTCCACTTCCCAAAACCCGACTGTTAAGCAAATTTACCAAAGGGTTCCTTCTTGGCCTGACTCTATGCAATCTTCCTGAATGTTACAGGTGCCGCCAATTGTTTAACTCTATAGAGCGGTAGTACCGGAGATCGCCACTAGGAGGCGAGGAACCATGCTAGCGTGGTGTGTAAACGGTCGTAAGGAACCGAGCTCGGCACGGATCGGTTTTCAGAGCGAAGTGGCTAATATCAGTGCAAGCTCGCCGGAATTTGGCAGCGGGTGTAACGGCGACCAAATAACAGAGGAAACACGTTCCACCAAAAGTCAGTTCTGCTGTTTGTAAGATCATCGTCACGCTGATAGAAAATCATAAGTTGAAAATAAAAAAAAGTATTAATTCCAAAAGGGAAGATCGTCTTTGGAACGATTGGACTGTAAACAGTCGTATTAAGAAAGGAGCAAATGTTTGATTTTATTTTATGTCATCCTGCTCCACAGAGCTACAGATGGGACGTCACTGTGTCGCCATAGCAACGACTGCTTTCCTTTCCCGTTGAAGGGAAGAGGCTGTCTCATTCTTGTTTCTACCCCTCCACCTTCAATCCAGACGCCTTCACAGCGGTGAGTGTGCGGTTAGTTAAGGGGCGGAGCTTAGGGGTTAGCCTGCTTCTCCATGAAATACCATGACTTCCTGATCTTAATCTCTCAGTTAGTCAAACTGATGATCACCAGAATAAAGTTTCCACCATTCCTCTTTTTATAGTAAAACTTTATTTTCAAATCCAGTGTTAAACATACATGATGTAAAAAAACAAAACAAAAAAAATGTCCGCTCCGTCTCCTCTCAGTACACCTGGATGAGACCCGCCCACTCTGCAATAGGCCACACCCCGTTTTCCATCACGTTGCTAGGTGACGACTTCCAATCCCAGCTCTTCACCGGAACGTTCCAGGAGGCGCCGTAGTTTGCCATCACGTAATCCAACGTTTCACAAGGAACGCGAACTTTGACCTCTAGAAGCTCCGCCCAGCACAGCGAGAAGGAAGGGAAGACGTACCTGAAGAAAAATAAACTTTATTTAAAACTTTGGAATCAAACAACCGCAGAGAGAAACACATGATGACAGAAAGCAGAGAATTTCCCACATTAAAGCGACAGTGGAGGATGTTCTTTGACCATCTAAATAATTGGTCCTCCTAACTGTCAATCATTCTGGTGATGGCCCTCCTACGTGCTCGGCCCCATTTTCACTCACAGGTGGTGAATCTGACAGTTATTTATGCGAAAAAATAAAAGTTGTGTCAGAATTCATATACCTAGCCATCCTAATAGCCTCTAAACTAACGTTTAAATCTCGGATTAAACAAAAGGTGCAATAGAGTAAAATTCAATATTATAAATTTCAATTCTATTCAGTTTATTTCTATAGTGCTAATTAATAACACGTCATCAGTGGCGGTTCTAGACCAAATGTACCAGGGGGCCAGGAGGGGGCCAGCGTGTTTTCATGGGGGCCCAGAAAAGCATGAAATAAAAAACAGGGCAAGGGGTTTAAATATATTAAAAGAGCTGCATGAAGTTAAATTTCTATTCAGTTATATTTAATTAAAACTATATTTCTTATTAGGGCAATATACATTCATAATTAAGGAATTGTACGTATTTTGGGCTTTAAGTTAAAATGACCGTTGTCTATAGAATCAGAATAAGAAATCAGGAAAAAACTATAAATTCAGCTGTAAAAATTAGAGCATTTTTAAATTTATTTTGAAAACAACATTTAGTAACCAAGTAACCATGGAAACCCTGTGTCCAGATTGTCACAGAAGGATACTTGTTAGAGCCGACAGCTGCGTCTCCCTGAAGAAAATACAGTCTGTCTTATTGAAAATGTTTGGTTCTACAGTCAGTACAGACTTCAAACGGCGCCACCTGGTGGCTGCATCCAGATTAATCCTAAACATTCTACAGCTCTGAACACTGAATACGACTTAGCTTCTGATCTAACAGAATAAATGTCATAAATGTCGTGGTTCTTAGCGCTCTCTAGCTAGGTAGAGCCCATTACAAATAAACCATGTTGCTGACAAGTCGCAACATTATGAGCATAAAATGAGCATAAAATTATGAGAATACAATCGTAATATTAGGAGAATAATGTTGTTACATAATAAGTTTCAAAATAATAAGAATAAAATTGTAATACTAGGTGAAGAAAGTCGTAATATGATGAGAATAAAGTCATCATACCCGTTTCAGAAAGAAAGCTCTGACCAGCATATATGTACGTTTGCACCATCCTTTCAAAGCTCCGATACTAATTATAGACCCTCTAAGTCGAGCGTACACTGTACGATTTTTTCCCCTTTTCGGTCCCATTTTCCAGTCGTGCAAAAATTTTTTCGATCGTGCCGACTTTCAGCCTGATGGTGCGTAGTGCTAGCCTCGTGAGACCATCCTGATGTCGCGAGCTTTCAAGGTTTCACTCGCTAATCAGTCTGGAGACTCTCCGTTAAAGAAAATTTGGAGCCGTTCACCAAACGAACGTCCAATCAGCGTTGGCTTTGAGGCGGGTTGAGGTGTGACGCAACGAGAAGCGCGACAGTTCAGTCTAAAGAACATGGCGGCTTCAGCCGATGAAACTAGCGTTAGCGTGGCTATCCAGCAAGTTTTATGGGAATTACAGAGTA